CCATATCCAGTTCTCTATTTTTTTTTTCTTAGGCACTACCTGTGTGCCAAGGCCCAGACCAACATCTTTGAACTTCTGCTTCTTTCTTTTTAAAATTTATTTTATTTATTTATTTTTGGCTGCATTGGGTCCCCGTTGCTGCATGCGGGCCCTCCCTAGTTGCAGAGAGTGGGGATGCCCTTCATTGTGGTGTGCAGGCTTCTCATTGTGGTGGCTTCCCACTGCGGAGCACAGGCTCCGGAGTGCAGGCTCAGCAGCTGTGGCACACGGGCCCAGCCGCTCCGCAGCATGTGGGATCCTCCCGGACCAGGGCTCGAACCCGTGTCCCCTGCGTTGGCAGGCGGACTCTCAACCACTGCGCCACCAGGGAAGCCCAGTTCTCTTAAAGCTTTGTGGGATCTGGACTCAGAAGCATAAAGGCCTGCAGTTCAGATCTGTGGGGGGGAAAACTGAGGCTTGGATGGGACAGACTGTCTCTTACAGGCGAGAGGCTGGTAGTGACTCTTCCCTTCAGCACAAGCTCAGAGTTAGGGGGAGTTCGCGTGTCCACGTGGACGGCAAAGAACGCAGATCTAGGAACTGTACTAGCCTACAAAACTTTTCCCTAAAAATTCATGTTACTCCTCAGGACCCCAGGGGCTACCCGGCTTCCTGGGTTTTCCGGGAGAGAGAGGAAAACCTGGCCCGGACGGACACCCTGGCAGAAAGGGAGAACACGGAGAACAGGGTTGGCCCGGCTCCCTGGGAGAGCGAGGAGTGAAAGGTGACAAAGGTAAACGCAGCTAATGGCACAGCGATGCAGCATAGATCGTTTTTAGTGTTTGACCGGAACCTATAAGTATGATCCCTGAAAAAATAAAATGGAACTATCCTGCAGCTTGGATTCTGCTGCCTTTTGAATCTATGGTGTTTGTTTTAGGATTTTAAACAAAATGTATTTTCCTTTCCTCCCAATCTTATCCCATATAACTATGGCAAATGAATTGCCCTATTAATAGAAAAAAAATTAACAAGGGCTTTGACTTATAGCTTTTGGGTTTCAGAAAACCTTCTCACCTTTTGGGAAGGGGGTGCAGGCAGGACTCCTGGTCCCCAAACCCTCCTTCAATTTTTCTAAATGAAAAAAACAGTTTTTTTGTTAAGGTCATACGGTCTCTGTCGAAATTACACAACTCAGCATTTGTAGCACAAAAGCAGCCTGAGGCAACACGTAAACAAACAAACATAGCTGTGTTCTGGTAACATTTTATTTATGGGCACTGAAACTTGAACTTCACTTAATTTCACATGTCATAAAGTATTATTCTTATTTTGAGTCCCCTCCCCCAATGATTTAAAAGTGTGAAAGTCATTCACAGCTCATGGATTGTATAAAAACTGGCAGCAGGTGGGATTTGGCCTGTGGGCTGTAGTCTGCTGACCGCTGAACTAGATGAGTCCGCTTTCATCTGGGCCATGAATTGCATCTCTCCCAAGCTTCATTTAAAGAAAAGTTTCCATTACTATTTTTAAAAAAAGTTTCAAGACCACTGGTGTCAATGCCCTGTGCCCATCCCTGTTAAATATTTACTTTGATCTCTTAGCCATGAGGCTGTGGTGAGCGAAGGTAAGATTTCATTTCTAGTGTTAAGAATGAATGCTTGACAATTTCTAGAAACAAGGTTTTTGTCTTTAAAGCCCTTTGGGAAAATAGCCTCATATTCAATTCAAATTATTTTTAGTTGATTGATCCTACTATTATTTTTTGTTTTACTAGCCTGTAAATTATTTATGTAGAATCAAGGAATCAGAGTCACTCTCTGTTAGCTTAGCTAAGTGATGTTTGCTGTGCTATCGTGCTTCTATATAATTATCCCACTAAAAATATTTAAAATTGGGGTAATGCCAGTGATGTCCTGGTAAGCTGGCTCTCTAAAATAAAGTTTTTTAAAAATGCCCTGATTACTACACTACAGTTTGCTGATTGCCAGGGTGTAAATACTCCCACCATAAATACGCTCAACATGACTGATTTAAAACTACCGATGGTTTAACAACTAGTTTACAAAATTCTTGACTTGTTAGTAAGTGGCTCTCATCAAGCTGAGATGAGCCCACTCCAGCCCACATCTACAACTGGACAGTGTTTGCAGAAATCAGGAGAAATATTGTATACCCTCCCTACCTCTTAGAATTCTCTATGTGGAGAACCAAGTTAAGTGACTGTTCTTTTAATGTAAGGAAAATATTGGAGGCTGGTTAGGAAGGGGAAGATAAGGAACTGGAAAATATGAGATGGACAATTCAAAATTTACAGGATAAAGAGATGTAGTTTTAAAAAATGTTATTGAAGTATAGTTGATTTATAATGTGTTCATTTCTGCTCTACAGCAAAAGTGACTCAGTTATACACAGATTCTTTTTCATATTCTTTTCCATTACGGTTTATCACAGGATATTGAATATAGTTCCCTGTGCTGTATGGTAGAACCCCGCTGTTTATCCATCCTATATATATATCAGTTTGCATCTGCTAATCCCAACCTCCCAGTCCTTGTCTCCCCCACTACTCTTTCCCCTTGGCAACTGCAAGTCTGTTCTCTATGTTTGTGAGTCTGTTTCTATTTCATAGATACGTTCATTTGTCTTGTATTTTAGAATCCACATATAAGTGATTATCATATGGTATTTTTCTTTCTCTTTCTGACTTACCTTGCTTTGTATGATCTAGGTCCATCCATATTGCTGCAAAATGGCGTTATTTCATTCTTTTTAATGGCTGAGTAATATTCCATTTTATATATGTAACACAGATGTATTTTAGACCTGGAACTTTTCAAGCCTGTCTCTTTTTACTGAAGACTCTAAGACGGGTTTGGTTGAATTTAGCAAACATTCACTGAGCCCTCAGTGTACACCAGTCCCCTTTGCTGGACAAGTTGGGAAAGGAATGTAAAAGGCATGCCCCTTCCTTTAGGAAGTCAATCAACAATGTTGATACCGTGCAATCTATGAACATAAATACAGTTTAGCAGGTTAAATGGGGATTTGCAAACTGGACGTGAGGAGCTGTAACAGAATAATCACGTGTGTGGTGCTTCCTTTTGTTTTGCTCTTATATAATTAATATCTAAAGGAGCAAGAGGACCCCCAGGATATGAAGGAGAAATGGATATTATTTTGAAAAAGGGGGAAACCGGGGAACCTGGACCTCCTGGAGATGGTGGATTCCCAGGAGAAGAAGGTAAATGCTTATGTTTTTTTAACCATATCAAATAAGTTGACTTCTTTACAGGTCATTCAAACAAGCATGCATATTAGACAACTTTCCAAAAAAAAACTGTAATTCGGAGATTAGGAAAGGTCATTCTTTAGATAAAAATAAAAACATACACTAAAGAACCTCATGGTACTTTTCTTTCCATGCTAGAACTTAGCTGTAGTTCATATGTGTTTATAGATTTGGATATTCCAAACTTGAATCAGTCCAGACAGAGACGTGAAATACTGGTACCAGGTTTAAGGTATTCCTGGTTTCGCTGGCTGATCTTAAAATGAGTAGCACAGTGACTGTCCGGATCATTTCAGTGGGTGCTACTCAGCCTTCAGTGAGCATCCCTTGGGGCCCTTGTTAAAACACAGATGCTCAGTCAGCAGGTGTGGGGCGGGTCTGCCTCTGGCTTTCTAACAAGCCCCTCGCTGCCTGTGCTGCTGGTCCTCAGAAACACCCCAGAGCAAGGATTTTGACAACCACGTTTGTGTTTTCTTTTCCCAGTTTAGACTTAATTTGAATGGGACCTGGGTTCTTTTGTTGGCCCTCTCTCCTTAACGAGTTAGAGAACAAATGTTTTAAGTCCTCTGGTTAAGTCCTTCCTCATTTGTAAAATGAGCATGTTAAAATAAAGCAAGTGGGCTTCCCTAGTGGCGCAGTGGTTGAGAGTCCGCCTGCCGATGCAGGGGACGCGGGTTCGTGCCCCGGTCCGGGAAGATCCCACATGCCGCGGGGCGGCTGAGCCCGTGAGCCGTGGCCTCTGAGCCTGCGCGTCCGGAGCCTGTGCTCTGCAACGGGAGAGGCCACAACAGTGAGGCCCGCGTACCACAAAACAAAACAAAACAAAACAAATAAAGCAAGTGATGCTGCTCACTCCCCCCGGGGTAGCCTTGAGTCTCTTCATGGGCAGCTCTTTTTTTTGTTGTTGTTGTTGGGGTACGCAGGCTTCTCACTGCCGTGGCCTCTCCCGTTGCGGAGCACAGGCTCCGGATGCACAGGCTCAGCGGCCACGACTCACGGGCCCAGCCGCCCCGCGGCATGTGGGATCTTCCCGGACGGGGGCACGAACCCGTGTCCCCTGCATCGGCAGGCGGACTCTTAACCACTGCGCCACCAGGGAAGCCCTGGGCAGCTCCTTTTACAGTGAGGTCACGGAAGCCAGAAACCCGTTGTGATGCAGCTTAGGGCAGGAATTAGGACTCCCAGTTCCTGGGAGATGGCTTCGTCTCCTATAAGCAGGACCAAGACCCACAGCCTAACTATCACCTGTCACGATAGTTTAACTATCCCCTAAAGTTCAAGAGATTTCCTCCAAGAGGTCTGTAACACTTCTAACCCCATCAGGTGATAAAGGCCATCCTGGGATACAAGGGAAGAAAGGAGAGCCAGGAAGCTGTGGACCACCTGGATTTCACAGAGGGGAGCCTGGGAGGAAAGGGCAGCCAGGCCTTCCTGGACCCCCAGGCCCTCCAGGCTCACCTGGGCTGAGAGGGCTCATTGGCTTTCCGGGATTTCCAGGTGACCAGGTAAGCAACTGCTGTTTTGGAAGGAAAGGAATAATAATACCTTTCTGCTCTCGGGATGCCCGTAAGTCATCTTACTTTGCCAGTGTACATCACAGTCCTTCACTGGCTTTTAGAATGTAAGGAGTTGGTCAGGGGAAGAATGGAAACTTCTAGAAGGCCATGATGTAACTGTAATTCTGGCCAGTGCTTATGCCTGGTTCCGGTGACATAAATGATCAAGTCACTTACTCCACATTCTACCCCCAGCCTTGTTTAAACAGCTCCATAGAGACTTGCTTGAGGACTGTTGGTTTGCCAGCACAAAGAGTCATCCGAAAAATGACCCAAATTCTGGTTACTCAGCTTTCCTATCCAATTGCAGACATCATAGATTTTGCTGTAAATATACTTTATCTTTACAATCATGAGCAAAATACCCCTTGAGAACCCAGGAAGTAGAAATGTAGTAGCCTACATCATAATTTCTGGAAAATGTATAATATACTTTGCTACCCATCTTTTGGAATAAAATAGATTTTTCAAGTTTTGGGTATAAATTATAACAGTTTATTTCATATCAATTTGTTCATTCAAAACTTAAAGTTCAAGTGATGTGATGCAATTACTCTTTTGCAATCAAGTATTGAGATTTGGATGCCCCCTGTTGGTATCACTAATTCTGGAAGAGTTTCGTCAACTTTTAAAACCTAGATGCATGTAGTAGTATGCTTGCAATGCATTTCCAATTTTCTTTACCACTGCAAATTATAAAAACCAAGTTCTTTCTAGAAAATTATAAGTGGATCATGTCAAGCATGTGTCATTTGTATTTGAAATTCAATTACAATCTTATTTCTGTTTCATTAAACTATCAGGGTGAGCCAGGTTCTCCAGGGCCCCCTGGACTTTCAGGAATTGATGGTACAAGAGGACCTAAAGGTATGGTTTGGAGATACAGCAGCCATCCATCAAGCTCATAGTCCTGGGTATTTGTAGCATTGTGAGCAAGTACCTCTGGCATGAAAAGTAAAGTATATCAAACAAACTGCAACATTCAAAGAGTTCTTTTTAGACTCTACTAGATAGTCAAACAAGACCTAAATCATCTATATTTGTCATTCAGATCTAAGGGTACCGTATAGAAAACAGCATGCTTGCAGGTATAGCATAATTTCCTCCTTGGTGGGAGTACTCTCAGCTGTCCTAGTGACTGCAGCTCTATAAATGACAGCTCAGGTGCCAAGAGACAGATCCGCATTGGTGGTCCATGGCCCCGTGCCCCATAGTAGCCAGTATCTCTTCTAAGGACTCCATAGGTACAGCTTTTGGCGACCCAGTTACAAGAGTCACGGTACACAGAGAAGGCCAAAGCCATGACTTCCCACCAAGTGCTAATAGTTCAGTTAAGAATTCCTGGGCCACACATAATTTACAGTTGAGTTATTTTTACCATAAGCCAAGGGTCAGCAAATGTGTTTTTCTCAAAGGGCCGTGTCATAAATATCTTCAGCTGCGTGGCCTCTGCTATAACAGCTGTGCATGAAAGCACACACAGCATGAAAGCAGCCTTAGACAATATGCAAACAAAGGGCTGTAGCTGTGTTCCAATAAAACTTTCTTTGCAACAGGCTGCAGGCTGGATTTGGCCTCACAGGCCTTAGTTTAATTTGTGCCAAAGACAGTATTGCCTTGTAACACAACTTACATTCTGCCTTTATCAGGTTTCCAGAGAAATAGGAACAGGAAGTTAACCCAAGGCAAAAAATGTCCTCAGAGAAAGAGAGGTTTCGTTAACCCTTTATCCAGACAAACAAAACAAACAAATCCAGGGCATCTTAAATTGCAGCGTTTACACAAAAGCTTTAATATTTTTACTGTTTTTGTGTACCATTGGGTTAATATTTTTCTTTAAATCTACTTTAAAATGATTCACCTTTTTAACCTTAGCCTTAATCTCACTATCTGTGAATTCACAGGCTTGTGGTACAGTTATATTTTATCTTAATACAGATTAAAATAAATAACTTTAAAATCAGAAACAGTGATTAGTGAACCACCTAAAAATCTTCTCCCTTACTACCAGTGAAACATGCTTTACGCTTTGAGAGACACTCCATAAATAACATGATAATTGCTGTAAGAAAAAAATGAACTGTGAACATGTATTTATTCAGAAAGAATAACTTAGATCTTCTCTTTAGAAATAGTTACAGATAGGGAAGTTTTCATATTTTATTTTGACATTTTATAGCTTCAGTCAGTGTTCAGAACTCAGTCCTCTTCTACTCATCTATCCATTTATTATAGACCCTTTGCCTCTCTCAAAGAACAAACCTATTTCTTCTTGTTTCCTTCCTACTTGTATCTGGCCATGTTTGCAAGGAAACAAAATGCAGTGAAGGTACTTGGAGTAAAAGCTGTCTCGTGGAGCCCACAGATAAGATAGTTCTGCAGGACCATAGTCTGAAGGAACCTAGCCCTTGGGAAATCCATGGATTTTTCTCTTGTGACTTTTCTCCGTGGTCTGTTTTTTACTTACCTGCCTACCAATTGGCTTTATCACTCTCTATTCAGTATCCTTTCTGGATGTGTTTGGATTGCACTTGATCATGCTGTGTATTAGGACGTCGTGAAAATGCTTTTGATTTCTGCCTCAATAGGCAAGGGCCTCAAGTTCTTACTTTTTATTACAATTCCTAAAGGAAAGACTGGCCGACATGGGATGGACCAGATTCATACCCTTCAGACGATTAACCACAATTATGAGTAGGGTCAGGTGGAAGAGAACCTGCCACAGGTGTGGGTGGGACCCCTTAAAAGGGGTGTTCGTGTGTAGATGCTTTAAAACATGCCTAATTAGCTCTCTTCTTCTCTTGTGATCCCATCAATTTCTTGCCCTTCCCTACCATACCATTTTGAGTCCTCCATTTGTAGTTGGCTCCCAGCTATAATGTAAGTCCTTGTGTCTGGAAGGATGCAGCAGCAGTGTGGAACAGCTCTGTGGGACTGTAGGGGTCACTGCCTACAATTGCCTACAACTGCCTACAATGGCCTCCAAAGTGCCATCTCTTGTGAAGTCATCAGTAACATGACCTGTGATTTCGGTTTTTTACAAGGACACCGAGTTGAGCTTCCTTGAAGAGAGCTTGAAATGTGATTGCAGCAGCTGAAACAGTGACAGTTTCTGCTTTCTTTTCCTAAAAAACAATATAAGGATACTCAATGCCAAGTAATTTCTTAAATAGATCCCTAAATTTGAAATTATTTTAGAAAATTTAAACTTATTAAGATCTATAGTTTCTTATGACTGTTATGAACTATAAAATAGTGTGTGTGTGTGTGTGTGTGTGTGTGTGTGTTTAAATCACAGCTTGCATCTATGTTTCTATTTGTTCTTATGTAAGAAAAAAAAAAAAAAGCATTGTTTCAAAAATCCTCTCCTGGAACATTGAGGATAGACTATAAAGGGAAGTATCATGAAAGTTATTAAGTCACTTGTATGAACAAAATTAAACTCTCTTAAATAATGTTATGTGCATTTTATCACTTACAGGATACAAAGGGGAACCTGCAAGTCAGTTTGGCCTACCTGGTCCAAAGGGTGAGCCAGGTAGCCCTGGATATCCAGGTATAGCTACATACTTTTCTTATTAAAACACAAAAGAGTAAGTTTGGTTTGAAAAATAGTGCAATTACTTGATCTTCCTAGCTGGCAATGGTTGTATCAGTATTATATTCTCCCTTCACTCATTAAGATACCTATCAGAAGGATTATGTATAAGCACTGGCCTAGGAGGACACCAGGATTATACACCAGCAACTCACCATCTTTTCTCCACTATGGCTCCCATGACCTAGGATGTTAACAACACACTTCCCTAGGCATGCCCAGATTTTGGCAGGGTCAAAAATGATTATTGCAAGCAATTAAAATTTGGACTGTTTTGCAAATCTATAACTAAAAATGATACATTAACAATAACCACTCTGCTGACTACAGCTGCAGGTTGTCATTCCAGCCCTTTCTTTCCTACTCTGAAAAGCATAGGCGAGGGACTTCCCTGGGGGTCCAGTGGTTAGGACTCTGCACTTCCCTGCAGGGCGCACGGGTTCGATCCCTGGTCGAGGAACTAAGATCCCACAAGCCTCATGGTGTGGCCAAAGAAAAAAGAAAAGCACAGGTGAACGCCCTGAGGCGTGCAGTTGCTGAGTTATGATTGAATACCTCATTTACTAAGTATCTAGTTTACTCAAAACCAAACCAAAGAAACGTAAAGCCTCATCATCAACAACAAATCTCAGTCTTTCAAAACAGCACTTCATTTATCAGCAACAACAGATGTGTAATCCCTCAGAACAGATTGTGATGTTCCAGAGAGTTCCTGCTCTCCGGTAGAGGTTGTGGCTCGTTACAGTAGACGCCCCACAGCTGACAAAACATACACATGCTTTTACTTAGTAATGCCACGTGTAGGAATATATCTTAAGTCAATAATCAGACAAATGTACAAAGCTCTGTGCACAGGGATATCCACTGCCTGGAAGGAATTTGTTTCTCCACAGCTGATTGGTTCAATAAGTGATGCCCAGTGTCATTCAGCTGATAGTGGACAGGTTAGCAGCCAGGCTTGTATTTAGATGGGTCCACTGTAAATTAAAATACCTCATATGAATCGTTTTGTGTATTACCTTGACATTCTCTTTGGCAGTGGCCATGTCTCATTCCATACAACAGAAAGAATATCTGAGAAGAACTATTATGGGAAATTTTATTTCTTTATTTTTATTTATTTATTTACTTTAAAGAATAAATCAATTTTTTTATTATTTTTAACTTCAGAAATTTTATAGATTTTTTTTTTTTTTTTTTTTTGTGGTACGTGGGCCTCTCAGTGCTGTGGCCTCTCCCGTTGTGGAGCACAGGCTCCGGACGCGCAGGCTCAGTGGCCATGGCTCACAGGCCCAGCCGCTCCGCGGCATGTGGGATCTTTCCAGACCGGGGCACGAATCCGCGTCCCCTGCATCGGCAGGCGGACTCTCAACCACTGCGCCACCAGGGAAGCCCTATAGATTTTTGAGTCGTCTTTACACTCTATAAATATCCACAATTCAGTAAATTATGGACACTGGGAAGGAACGTTTAAAATAAGGAGAATGAATTAATCTTTGTTTTTATACCATAAGATTACTAAAATGGAAGTCTAACAGGAAAACAAGCTATTGCACTGGCAAAAACTTCCTTCCCCACTCCCTTTCATACGGGTCCTTTACCTCTGGCATGGTCAAATAGATTTAGATAATATAATATTTTAACTGAAATGTACAGCTTACGTGTACATTTGGAGGGGAAAATAGCTTTGAGGTTAGCATTGTGGAGGCTCATAAAAAGTACCAGAGGGAGGTCTCAGAAAGGAAAATCACTGGTTCAAAGTCAACCTCCTTTACCACTGAGCATATGGTCTTGGGCAAGTTGCTTATCATCTTTGAGCTATTTCCTCACCTGTAAACTGGCCCTATGCATATTACAGGTTGTTCTGAGGATCAAATGAGATTCCTTGAAAGCAATTTATAAACTAAAAATTGCTACACAAATGGAAAGTGTAATTCATCATTGTCAGCAGTCAGCAAAACATGAAGAGATTTTTCCACACTTACTGGTATTTTTATGTAAACCTTTAATATAGTAAGATTTTATAAGCTAAAAAGAGTCCAAAATGGAAACCTTTGATATTACCTAATATTGTAAGTTAAAAATCATAGAACTGAGTTATTTTATATGTAGGCTAACTTTTTCAAGAAAATTTGCCTTGGTGTAATTTCTCTGGTCTCCTGTGGTTGTCACCGTTTAAATGGTTCCCTTTCCCAAATGCCATAGCTTTTGCTTAAAATTTTAAAATTGCATCATATGTTATTCACCAGCACAGAGTTTACCTAAACATGCAATCTCCATTGGCTTGAAAAAAGCTGCATTGAATGTGAACAAGCCTATCAAGAAGGCGTAGATCTGCAGCCTGTCTCAGGGGACTTTATATGATTGTATTGGGTTCAGTTCTACCTCCCTTTTCTCTATTTCAGAGAGAAAATACAGTACAGCTTAACTCACAGGTTCTGTTCTTAATATAACTGTGATTGGAGAGGCAAGGCTTTAATATTTCAGTTTCTTCATTTGGAGGTGGGAAAAGGCTGCCTTCCCTTTACCACAGGAATATTTTCAGGATGAAGAAAACAATACACAGTGAAGCTCATAGATCTCAAATTTGATTGGGAACAAGTATAGACTAACATAGGCTTGTTTCTCTTGTGTGTTATAATAAATAGTGACTATGACCCCCGTGGGTTTGTAAATACAGAACCATATATTTTATTTGCAGATTCAACTGGTCATTTTCAGCACAGACTATTGGTTTATCCTACAAATATAAACTGTATTGATATTAAAGTCATACATTATAAATAAACACATGGGGAAGTCATCTTCTCTAGTAATCAAAGAAATGTAATTTAAAGGAAGTCTGAAATATCATTTCATCCTTACTAAATTAGCAAGAAAACAAATCAACAAATTAGAAAGTCCTCAGTGAGCACATGGAATGATGGTCTTGGGGCTGTGTGTGGGTGACATGTAGGGCTGTGAGCTGGTAGAGCATTTATCCAAACCATTTGGCAACCTCTGTCAAGAACCAAATGCTGAATGGTCTGTTCTAGAAGACTCAGAACAGTTGGGCCTTTCTCTTCAGCACGTCACTGTCCTGAGAAGGGGACTGTAGTGGGTTTTTTTTTAACCTAATAGATGTATCCACCAGATGTAATGTGTGGTTCTGGAATGGGACCTGGTGTGGACTCACCGGCTGTGAAGGACATTGAGGGGACGATTGAGAAAACTCAAATATGGAAGGAGGATTATATGATATTAAGGGTCATTATTAGTTTTCTTGGCTGTGATAATGTTACTTTGGCCACATAGGAAAATGTTATTTTTCAGACTTACCTCCTGAAATATTTAGGGATGAAATTCCACGATGTCTGTGATTTACTTTAAAATCCTTGAGCATTTAAAAAGAACCAAAAATTCTACTCTTAGGAATTTTTCCTGAGGAAATAATTTAATAGGAGAAAAAATTGATTAAAGATGTATAAAGATCATTATGCATAACAGCAAGAGTTAGAAATAACATGGATGGCCAACAGTAGAGAAAATTAGATTAATTAATTTAATTAGGGTTAACTCAATAAGCTATCAGCCAGTTATTTAAAAACAGTAATTAGGAAAATGATATCAAACTTGGAAAATTACTTATGATGCAATGCTAGCTAATTAAAAAATCAGAATATAAAATTGTAGGCCTTATTTGCACATTTGTTATACATATGAAACACTGTATTAAATTGGTGGGATTATAGGTGTTTTGTTTTCCATTTTTCCTTAATGTTATCTTTTCAACAGAAAAATTGTACATGTAAAAAAGTAAGAATAGAAAAGAAAGAGCTTAAGTTGGAGGTTTTATAGATTCACCACCTTGAAGAGCAACTACAACTACTCAGATGTTTGGTCCTTTTTTCTTTAGGACATTTGGGAGCACCTGGAGAGCAGGGCTTGCCTGGTGTTCAAGGACCTGGAGGACTACCCGGAAGGCCAGGACTGCCTGGCTCCTCTGGACCAGCGGGGTGTCCAGGTACCTCGAAAGGAGCCTGGAGAGTTCCCGGGCACTCATCTATCTCTTGGTGTAGGGGAAGAAGCTGGCTCTGCCATTTCCCCAACCTGTGACTTTGGACAAGTCACTTAAATGTACTATTCCTCACCTGTAAATTGTAGATAGACCAATATCACTGAGTTGGTCTGGGAGTAAACGAAGACAGCGCCTGTCACGCACCTAGGAAGATACCAGGCACAAAGTGATGGTCTGACAGAGGAAAGCTCCTTTCCAACCTTCCCTCGTGCACCTACCATTCAGGAGGCTGGTTTCCTATTCTCTTTTAGACTTAAGCCAAACAGCACACATTCAACACAACATTTTAACGGCTTCTCCTCTTGCCAATTCAGAATCAAGTGAGCATTTCAAATCATAATTGGCAACTTTAATCACTCAAGTGTATTTTCTCCTCTTGAGATTAAGTTAGGAGGTCTAGAAAGAAAAAGTAATAAAACAGTATCCCAGTTACCCATAGATTAAGAATATAGATGACCTTCCCATTTCACAAAACTCGTATCGTCTGGGTGTCTGCAAAACCTCCCTGTCGTCCTCAGGTAATCCAGGGCTGCCTGGGCTGCAGGGACATCCAGGAGAAATGGGGGATCCTGGGCCAAGAGGCCTCGTGGGGGATCCAGGGGCACCAGGTCTTCCGGGAATAAAAGGTAAGTCAAAAGGAGGCCCGACCCATCAGAAAGCTCCCCCCGGTGATGCTCCCACAAGTTCACAGCGCCTTTCTAGCACCCTGATGACATGCTCTGGGGCCTGGCTCTTTCCAAGGATGCCTGTTGCCGCCTCCTGTTCTTTGTTACTTGGGCAGCGCTTGCCTGGTCTCTTGACCCGCTCTACCAAAATGATGCTGCCCCCTCATTTTTTTTAACATCTTTATTGGAGTATAATTGCTTTACAATGGTGTGTTAGTTTCTGCTATATAACAAAGTGAACCAGCTATACATATACGTATATCCCCATGTCTCCTCCCTCTTGTATCTCCCTCCCACCCTCCTCATCCCACCCTCTACGTGGACACAAAGCACCGAGCTGATCTCGCTGTGCAGATCTCGCTATGCAGCTGCATTTCCCCTATTGTTTTCCATGATGTTCCAGCCTTTTCATTTATTTTTTCCCCAGATAGTCAAGCTCCTGTTATGTCCTAGATTCTAGGACACAATTAATTGTGTGATACTAGGCACACAATTTTGAAGAAAATAGACATGGTTCCTGCCTTCACAGAGCTCACAGTTTAGTAGGGGAGACAGATATTAAATGTATTTTTGTCAGTTGTGCAAAGGAAAAGGAAAAGAGTAAGATGCTATGGAGAAAGAGGAATTAATATTTATTATCTTTGTTTGATAGAGAAACATTTTTTTCCTGGTTAAGTTTTTTCCCTTTAAAAGTATAGTAGACTTGGGCTTCCCTGGTGGTGCAGTGGTTGAGAGTCCACCTGCCGACGCAGGGGACACGGGTTCGTGCCCCGGTCCGGGAAGATTGCCGCGGAGCGGCTGGGCCCGTGAGCCATGGCCGCTGAGCCTGCGTGTCCGGAGCCTGTGCTCCGCAGCAGGAGAGGCCACAACAGTGAGAGGCCCGCGTACCAAAAAAAAAAAAAAAAAGTATAGTAGACTGGTAATAATATAGGTCTGGTGGGATAGAATAGAATAGAATAGAATAATTTGTTATTAACAAATATTCATGCCCCTCCATACAGCCCTGGTACTTATTCCTTTTCAGTCGATTTCTTTCATTTTAGAATTTTTTTTTCCCCATGGGTACCTTGTGTATACCTCTAGTATAACACGTTGTATCATATTTGTTTGTTTAGAGGTCTTTTTTAAAAAGCAAGAATCATTTTTTTAAATTGAAGTATAGTTGATTTACAATGTTTTGTTAGTTTCAGGTGTACAGCAAAGTGATTCAGTTATACATACATATATTTTTTTTCAGATTCTTTTCCCTTATAGGTTATTTAAAAATATTGATTTTGGTTCCCTGTGCTATATAGCAGGTCCCTGTTGGTTATCTATTTTATATATAGTAGTGTGTATATGTTAATCCCAAACTCCTAATTTATCCCTCCACCCCTTCCCCCTTTGGTAACCACAAGTTTATTTTCTATGTCTGTGTGTCTGTTTCTATTTTGAATATAAGTTCATTTGTATCGTTTTTTTTTTAGATTCCACATATAAGCAACAGCATATCATATTTGTCTTTCATTGTCTGGCTTGCTTCACTCAGTATGATAATCTCTAGGTCCATCCTTGTTGCTGCAAATGGCATTATTTCATTCTTTTTTATGGCTGAGTAATATTCCTCTGTGTATATGTTACCACATCTTCTTTAACCATTCATCTGTCAGTGGACATTTAGGTTGCATTCATGTCTTGGCTATTGTAAATAGTGCTGCAATGAATGTTGGGGTGCATGTATCTTTTTCGAATTATGGTTTTCTCTGGATATATGCCCAGGAGTGGGATTACAGGATCATATGGTAGCTCTGTTTTTAGTTTTAAGAACTATTTTTTGTATCCTGGAACCAGTATATTCCTAGTAAGTCTGTTGGTTGCTTATTGTAAGTATTTATTTATTTATAGAAATAAATAAAAATTTAAATATTTTTATAAATTTAAAAAAATTTATAAATTTATTTTTATAAATAAATACAATTATTAATTAATGGAAAAATAGAGAATGAACAACTGAACAAGTAGCTATGAGGCTGAGAGTCTGTCCTCACTTTGATCAATAGTTGAAGGGTCAAGCCTTACTTGGTAGATTTCTATAACTGAGACCCCTCTCTCTCCTTCCTCCTTTTTCCTCCCACTTACCTTCTGCTCGTTGGCCCATACATACACTAAATTTTGGTCAAATAAAAAGTACTTCCTCTCAGAAGAATTGGAAATCCCTTCTTTTGGGCTTAGTCAGTCTATTGTTTTGCAAATCCAAGTAATGTTTCTCCATGCGCTCACCTCTTCACTCATCAGATAGATTTCAAATAACTCCAGTTGTCCAGCAAGTAGTAGTGTGGTGGTAAGTATCACCTGGTGCCTCTGTACAGAGGGAAGCCATTTAGTTTGAAGAGTTGGTATACTTACGAATTTCTATGCAGCCAAATAAGCAGACAGGAAAAGCTCCCACCACAAGATACCTTTGTACTGTCCCCCTTCCTCTTCACTGGCATTTTTAGTAATGTGAAGTATAGTGATTGGTGATAAATTTAGGGTTCCAAGCAAAATAATTCTGTATTTTTAAGAGTTTCACTGGTTCTTGTGGCTGTTTCCTGTCTCTGGCAATCCCTATAGCCCTGGCGGGATATTCTTTGATGCTCTTTTGAGTGTCTGGAGGACAAAATTGATAAAGAACCAAAAGAAAACGTTTTCCATTACTTCTGCTGCATGTCCACTTCTTCTTACCCTCCTAGTTTAGTGAAATGGCAAGGATTTTCAAGTGTCCTGGTGCCATTTTCTGCACTCAGTTTGATAAAAATGACAAGGTTCATGTTGCTATTGTTGATTCTTCCTTCCCTTGAATTAGTTCACATTTATCACATAACTTCAGTATATGTTATTAAAAAACTAATAGCTAATGAATTTGACAGAACAACAAAATTATCTCCAATTACATCATAATTCGATGCTATGAAATAATAAGTTTGTTAAGAAGAGAAGGTGAGAAAATGAATATATCAACCCAAATATTCATACCAGTGCACAGACGGTTGCTGCAGTGATGCTTCCTGACCATGCAGGGACACTGTTTCCCTGCAAACAGCCCAGTGAACAGCACAGTCTTTAAAAAAAAACCCCACGAAACAGTGAAATACATTCCTAGGAATGAAAACGTCTCCAATGTAAATCCATTGTTGCAGTTTATCATGCTGATAGAAAAATGAACCACACTCGGGCAGAAACGCTTTGAACTGAGAAACTAAATATTTGAAGTATGTTCTAAATAAGTCAAAGGGACTGATTATCTTGTTTGAACAAACCAGCTGCTGAACTCAAAGTTGTTTGCTCCACTGGAACAAGCCATATGGACTCTTGAGTCTTGCTTGTGTTCAATCAGATTTAAACTTTAACTTCAACATATGTAAAAATGGCTTGATGCCTAGACTTAAACTTTCCAGTACCTATGCCTCTAAAAGGAAGATGCTCGATTTCCTAGTTAGGCATTCATATAAGAATATAATAATGGAGGGCTTCCCTGGTGGCGCAGTGGTTAAGAATCTACCTGCCAATGCAGGGGACACGGGTTTGAGCCCTGGTCCGGGAAGATCCCACATGCCACGGAGCAACTAAGCCCGTGCGCCACAACTACTGAGCCTGTGCTCTAGAGCCCGCGAGCCACAACTACTGAGCCCATGTGCCACAATTACTGAAGCCCGCACGCCTAGAGCCCATGCTCCGCAGCAATAGAAGCTACCTCAGTGAGAAGCCTGCGCACCACAACGAAGAGTAGCCCCCGCTCACCACAACTAGAGAAAGCCTGTGCGCAGGAACAAAGACCCAACGCAGCCAAAAATAAATAAATAAATTTATTTTTTAAAAAAGAATGTAATAATGGAAACCTAGAATGATAAGCTTTAGCATGAGAATGTGTAAAGAATGTGGACTGGGTTATTTTGGTGGGTGGCAGGTAAACTATTTCATAAGAAAAAAGCACCTAGAAACGTCTTTTATCAGCATAGAAATGCGGGGCACCCTACAGCCGTGAAAACCACAGAAATATCCTCCCTCCTTTTCTACAACTAGTGTCCTCCCTCTCCCGCCTCCACAGCACTTACCACTCTTGAGGTAATTGCCTGTTCGTTCTGTCAAGTCAGGGATTGTTTCTCTCTTGCTCTCATTGTCTGGTCAGCTCCTGTCACTAAGTGCATTTGGGGACTGAAACTTCGCTGTTAGGGGACCATGTCTTAGGCTCTTGTGTGTCCCCTTGGTAGGCACTCGTGTATTTTCTGAATCAAAAAAGAATTCAATCTTATTTCAGAATCTGTTTTGATACGTTTTCCACTTCGTTCAGCCTTTACCTGTAGTCACAAAGAAAGGTCTCTCTTTCCCTTCGGCTTTCAGGTTAGGGTGACCAGCTGTCCCATTTTGCCTGGGACGGAGGGAGTGCTCAGGACACAGAACTTCCAGTGCTAGAACTATAAGAAAGTCGCCAGCAGTCAGGGACGAGTTGGTCACCCTAGTAAAAGTGTACACCTGTTAAAGGTCCCTGGGGATAGAGTAGCATTTTCAGGCTTTAGAACAAAAGAAAACCTCAGAGAGGGAAGCCAGTCACGAAGAGTCACCTGGCTCACATAGATAGAAGCTGCTATTATGATTATAGCTGGGGTGGGAGAGTAGATTCTCCGGCTAGAGGGGGGGGACACCCTGGCCTGTGAGTGCAGCAAGATGCGGCCTTAAATGATGGTTGTTAGGCCCGAGGATGACCAGAGAGGTGAACAGAAAATGCTCATTACCAAGGAATGTGCTTTGTGAGACTAATTGCCTCTCCTCTGCCTGGTATATATTTTATGCATGAACAACTTTTTGATTTAGAGATGGGATGGATAAAAAAGCTTTCAGTAAAAAGGAAAAATTGCCCTTAAAACTCTACCCAGATGTAGCTGCCTTCAATTTAGAAAGGTAACATTGCGTCAGATAAGGGTCAGCCAGTTCAACAATGGCGAGAGGCTGAGGCTGTGACAGTGCAGGACCTGGATGTGTTGATGTGACAATGGAGAGTTGGCAGGAGCTGAGACGTCCCACCCCCAGCCAAGTCCCCAAGCCATCAATCTTGGTGGCTTCAGCTGGAGATCAAAACACAATGAATAGCAGAGGAGTCTCAGAAAATGTCTTATCATTTCAGATAGATGGCAATAAGTATCCAGATTTGGCAGATGAAGGTCTGTGTGTTCTTTTGGTGCAAACTTGAAACATTTGCTCATAAATAGGAAAGAGAATTGGAGAATAAGCTCAGCCAGAACTGATAAAAGTGGTTAGGAAATAAGAGCTTTAGGGAAAAAAAGGGTGCATTCCCCCCCCCCGCTTTTTCTTTTGGTGCAAGACAATATGGCTTATTCCCACCAATCTAACGTTTAGATTTAAAAAATAGAATAACTCTGTTTCTAGTACTGATAAAAAATAAAATGGAACCAACTAACTGTTCCATCGTCCAGTAAGAAGTCTACAGAAGACTTGCTTTAATGAAGAGATAATAATTAGCACTTGAATTCTTTATATGCAAATGGATAGTACTAACTTCCTCAAATCTTACTCATCCGATAAATCTATCAATGAAAGATGTGACATGCAAACAGAGATTGGAATCCACCCTTCTTTATAGCTTTCTCTCCACCTGTTCAATGCCTCACCCTCCCTGTTCCACACTTGGTCATTCACTGATTCATTCATTCACTCACTCATTCATTCAACAAACATTTATTGAGCACCTACTGTGTGTCAGGAGATATGCTAAGTGGCGGGATAGAACAACTAATAAGACCTGATCTCACACTCAGTTAATTCATCCAAAGTAAACCAGCCACCACAGACAGGATTGTTGTACAGAGTAGGATGGGCCTGGCAGAAGGGCATTGAGGGAGCTCTACATAGGTGTCATGGGGGTAGATGAGGGGCACTTCTCTGTGTTCGTCATAAGCTGAGGGTGTGATTATCACAAATTCGAGGGCTGGGACCCTTAACTGAATGAATGGCTGGCTGTGTTCTGAGGGGCTTTTAGCCTCAGATGAGAAAGAAAAGTTTCTGGTTGGAAGATCCATTAATGAAATAGGAAGGTTACCAGGCTTGGCCAGGGGCTGAGGAGAAGATTCTTTCTCCCCCATCAATCAGTGGGACGTGGGTGCAGCACTTGGCAGAAGCGCAGCAGCTAGGAGATGTTCTATGTCTGTTAGTTATCTGCCTCTTCCCCCGACCCTTCCCTTTACTTGCTTCCTACAAATCTATATATTTATATATGGCAAATATATATAACGTATTATGTATATGCTATATGTATTATCATATAAATATAGATACAAATACCTATATATTTATCAATCTATAGATTTATAGGTGTTCGGCTTTCAGTGACAACTTATGTAAAGTCAGATTAGTAGATGGCTCCTTAGAGAACTCTGTTGACACCTGACAGAAGGTCACCTGACAGAAGGTTCTGAAAGAAGATGCAGGCATCAGCGAGATCCTGTCTAATTACAGAGAATGGAGTTTGCATGATCATCGTGAAATAAATTTACTAGTTGCCATGAGGCATCAGAGTGGTTCTCTTTGAAAGAAGGGGTGGCAGAGGAACAGCTGCAGCCACACCTGACCTGCAGGCCTGTTCTTTCTGAGTAACACAGTGCTCAAAAAAATCAGTAGGGTGTGTATTCCCCAGTGTGTCACCGTCCCCACCTGTCCTTAACTGTCTTACTACCTTTATCCAGATAGATTCTGAAGAAACTAGGATCTGCAGACCATGGAGTGTGGGAAGATCCTGGGCCTGGGAGGAAGGAAGAGGGCGTTTGCTCCCAGCTAATCCCTTTCCTTGTCTAGGATCATTTTTTTTTTTTTTTTTGCGGTACGCGGGGCCTCTCACTGTTGTGGCCTCTCCCGTTGCGGAGCACAGACTCCGGACGCGCAGGCTCAGCGGCCATGGCTCACGGGCCCAGCCGCTCCACGGCATGTGGGATCCTCCTGGACCGTGGCACGATTCCGTGTCCCCTGCATTGGCAGGCGGACTCTCAACCACTGCGCCACCAGGGAAGCCCTAGGATCATTTTATTGTTGTAAAATTGGAGGTCATTTCCTATACCAAGATTCAGTAATTCTAGAGTCTATCTGATTAGAAAGAGAGAGAAAGAAAGAGCGAGAGGTTCATGATACGGTCATAAACCAACAGCACTGTGTTAAAACCAAAGCAAGTTATGTGATGGGATATATGCCCGGCTGAGGGATGGCGTGGGAGTTTGGAGTTTGGGGTGAGCAGATGTAAGCTATTATATAGAGAATGGATAAACCACAAGGTCCTACTGTATAGCACAGGGAACTATATCCAATATCCTGTGATAAACCATAATGGAAAAGAATGTAAAAAAGAATATATATATATATATATATATATATATATATATATATATAAAGAAAAGTATGTGTTAAGCTGTCTTAACAGAAAACATCCATCAAATGAACGTATTTAGCGATGACCACTGGCATGGATTCTGCTTTGATAGTGACATTCGGAAGGTGAGGTCTTCTGGTTCCTGCCTGGAGAATCTGTGGGCCCCCGTCAGCTAACCCTCCCCTGGACTGTGCCTGCAAAGTACAGCCAGAGGATGTACCTTGTGTACTTTGTGTCACAGACCTGTGATGTGTTTCAGGTCCCTCCGGGTCGCCTGGCCTGAACGGCTTGCACGGTTTAAAGGGTCAGAAGGGCAGCAAAGGCACTTCAGGTAAGAGAAAACCCTTTGCAAGAGGCTGAGCAGCAGGCAGGGGACCACGAGAGTCCGCTGGTATTTCCTCCCTTCACAAAATTCGGATGCGAAACTAGGACAGTGGTTTAGCTCAGATTCACAATGTTGGAACTGTTTTTAGTGCTGGTGATGACATATAAAAAAGACACTTGAGAAAACCCAATTTAAGCAGGAATGGTTGGTTAACAGTGCCTTTTGTTGATACTGCTTGTGACTGTCTATTAAAAATGCTCTGAATAATCGCTTAGGCGGAGCTAGCTTCCAAAATGTTACGAAGAACCAATAAATAGTCGGGATTTGGGGGTATTGTTTTGTTTTATGTATAGTCATGCCAAGTACAACCACGTGGGTCTAATTAGTACTTCTAGCATCCTTCAATAGCCTGCTGCTAAAACAAATTACCTGAACAAATTGCTGTTACTTTTGATACCACAAATAGGCTAATCATGAGGATCTTAGCTTGTTCCGTTATCTGGGTAGAACGCACACTGGTTGCATTCGTTTCTCAGGAAAAGAGCTCGCAATCAGACAAGGTAGCTGGAGTCAGACATGCAGATTTGGGGGACTGTTGGAAAAGGATTGGATTGCTGTGCTGCGTGGTTTGAATCTGTTGTTGAGGAGGGACAAAACCTTGATACGGTTTGGAAGGTCAAGAAGTAATTTACCTCACTTAGGATTCAGTTAGCGGCTCTTCCGAATAGTCTGGTAAAACGTGTGCCCTCTCCAAGAAACCAGTGACGTTCTGCCTTTTCATCGTGAAACTGCACATTCCTTCTGTTTATTTGCCGGTTTCCACCTTAAATTTCAAGCCAGCTTATTCACAATCACTTATCGTCGGATCTCATTCGTTTCACTCTTTCCATTGTAGAGGTTGAAGGGTCAGTACTGTCAGTAAGCTGTTGTGTTTTGAAATCTGGGAAATAACCATAAAATAAATCAAAGCTATGCTGGACAAGTGTGACGGGTCATAAGACAGGAGACGGCGACCCAGGAAGGGTGTGCGGCCATCTGGGTCACCGTTACAGCCAATGTTGAGCCTCAGCAGGACCGGCAGCATCCCTGTCACATGACTATTTGGAAGCAGTTCCTTTCCAGGCCCCACAGCAGGGACACACCAGGAGAAGATGCAGTGCTAATGCTGTTTTCCTCGTTAAGGTTCCCATAAAACGGGCCCACCTGGTCCAGTGGGAATGCCCGGGCCAAAAGGCGAGACAGGAGACCCCGGGAGCCCAGGAATTTCTCCTCCAGGACTTTTCGGAGACAAAGGTCCCCCAGGTCCCCCAGGTAAGAAGCAGCATGCTTTTCCCTTCTCTCAGTAACTAAATCCAAGCCTTCTAAATGTAATGAGACTAACAACTGAACATGTCCCTTCTCAGGGAGACCTGGACCGCCTGGTCCTGCGGGTGCCCCAGGAAGAGCTCTTAAGGGTGACATTCCAGACCCGGGTCTGCCTGGAGATCAGGGACCTCCTGGCCCCAATGGTCCAAGAGGTATGAGAAGAATCATGGCAAAGGATGGTGATGCCCCTTTCCTTAGATGCTGCCAGCTCTGTAGGGATGGAGGAGCAGAGAGTGGCCGAGTAGAAACACCTTAGCAGCCCCATCGATTTGGCAGATGGAAACAGGGGGAGTGTGGGCAGTGGTGGGCTCCCAGGACCGGTGCTTAGGCCCCTCACACTTCTGTTTCAACTCCATCGGACCACCTCTGACTCAGAGCAAGCCTTTCCCGTTGTCGGCTCGAGGCTGAGCGTGAGGGTGCAGAAGTGACAAGCAGGAGGCCATCATGTGGGTCTCCGCGTCTGCACAGAGAGCACTGCTTCTGGCCCAGGGTGACAGGACCCAGGCCTGACTCACACACAGGAACAGTCTCCTCATGTGCTGCTAACATTACGTGTTGTTCCTCGTGTCGCTTCACTGGGACAGACTCTAGCCAGTCAATATTTAACAAAGTAAGACTGGACCAGAGATGGTCAGGGGGTTGGAAAAAGACTGTGGCTCAGTGCAATTTTTTGCCAACTGGCAGGCGATCACATTCCTACTAGCTCACAGAACTCTTCCAGAGAGACAGAAACCTTAAAATCTTCAGCATTTTAGTAAGGGTAGGATAAAATATATAGTTCTCTTTTACACTGAGAAAAATAAAAATGCTCAAAAATGTGCTGAGAAGTTTAGAAGCTAAGTAGGAATTGAATTTGGGCTCAATTCCCATGTGTAGACTCTGGTTTTCAAATAGGATTTTAAATTTCATTGAGCGGATATTCCTTTTTCATCAGCCAGATTTTCTTAAAAGCCTATTATCTCTCTCTCTCTGCCCACCCATCCATCTACCCATACGTTCATCTACCCATCTATCCATTTACCCATCCATCCATCCATCCATCATCCATCCATCCATCGTGTGAAAGCAGCAGGATGGCAATGCAAAACAAAATCATAAACTGATACTGCCAAAAGGAGTGGCTCTGAAAGGAAGGAAGGCTTTGCTTAGCTCGTTTTGTTTAACAGTTACTAACAGACTATTCACACCATTTCTCAACTTGGCCTCCAGTATTAGACATACTGTTTCACCTCTGATACTACTGACTTAGTTATTCTAATTCCTTGCATCCCTTGCTTGTAAGCCATTAAATTCCTTTCCTTAAGAAGCTCGAAGGCAGCCAGCATGCACATTTGACTGAAAGAATCTTTTTGCCTACTCTCTGTGGTCAGGAATACCCGGGCCTCCAGGGCCCCCTGGGAGGGTTGAACTTCTGAAAGGTGAACCAGGTGACTGTGGTCTGCCGGGGCCTCCAGGTCCCCCAGGCCCACCAGGCCCTCCAGGACGCAAAGGCTTCCCAGGATGTGATGGAAAAGATGGCCAGAAAGGTATGAATGCAAGTAGTTCTTTAAGTAGTACTGGATGACTTTCATTATTTAGCCCTTAAGGGTCTGGGGTATGCACCACTATGAGGTATTTCTCATTTCCTGTGGAAACAGTGACTACATTTCCAAAATGTCCTGACTTTCCCAGAGTCCTAAAATTTGGGTAATAGTTGGACAAGTAAGAAGAAGAAACACAAGTTCATCTTTAGCCCCTAATAACATACTTGATAATCTTCTAGACAAGAACTAAACAATAGAAATTTAATGCAAGCTACGTATGTAATTAAAAGATATAGTAGCCACATTTTCAAAGTAAAAAGAAACAAAAGAAATTTTCATACTTTATTTTATTTAACATAATATATTCAAATATTATTTTAACATAAAATCGATATGAGTTATCAAAGGGATAATTAGGTCTGGCTGTATAAACCTGGTTCTTGTCCCAAATAAGACACTCCTTTCTGCTGCTGAAATCTGGTGTGTATTTTACACTTATGGCACAACACAGCTTGGACTTGCCAGTTTCAAGTGTTCAGTAGCCGCATGTGGTTAGTGGCTTCTGTATTGGACAGTTCAGTTTTAGACTGCTGACTTTGTCTTTTTATAATCACAAGAGTCTCCATTACTAAATAGTCTCCCACTACTTAAGGCTAAAATATTTATTTTAACTAATTTTTACCTAACTGCTAATGTTTGGGGACCTTAGTTTTTGGTTACGAGAATTTTAGAGAATTATGAGGTTCATAGGACATTTTGTTGAGAAGAGACCAATAAAGCTTATCCATTTTACCTCCCTTATGTCATAAATAAGGAAGCTTGATACCAGAGAAGCAAATGTCGGGCTTCCCTGGTGGCGCGGTGGTTGAGAGTCCGCCTGCCGATGCAGGGGACACGGGTTCGTGCCCCGGTCCGGGAAGATCCCACATGCCGCGGAGCGGCTGGGCCCGTGAGCCATGGCCGCTGAGCCTGCGCGTCCGGAGCCTGTGCTCCGCAGCGGGAGAGGCCACAAGAGTGGGAGGCCCGCGTACCGCAAAAAAAAAAAGCAAGTGGACTTGGGTTGGGATTCCAGGGAGGGCTTCCCTGGCGTGATCTGCACGCTACAGAATGAGGAGCACTTGGTGGACAGGGGGAAGGAACAGTATGTGCGAGGTACTGAGTGGCTGGTGTGGCTGAAACTGAGAGAGTGAGGAAGAGGGGGTGGGAACTCAGGGTCGGTGGTCTCCAGACAGTGGAGCATCTTTCCTTATTTTTCCTTTCCGTCACGGTCCTTTGGACTGTCTCCAGAGAAAGTTCAAGATGACTGGGCTTTTCATTCTAATTTAGTTTTGTCTTGGTCATGGAACAATATTCCTTAGTCCGGTTGATGGATAGTTATCAGACAGAGGCAGCTCTTCTCGACCTCGCAGAAGAAAGTTGGGGTCTATTCTGCACTCTAAGGCTGGCTTTGCCCTGCATTTTGCTGGAGTGAACCTCTGAATTCAGTCCATTGAGCTGTCATTATCTTTATATTGCTTCCTTCTAGTGCCCTCCTTTTCATGTGTTTGTTTTAGGACCAATAGGATTCCCGGGGCTGCAGGGGCCACCTGGAACTCCTGGGCCACCTGGAGAGAAGGGTTTACCTGGACCTCCAGGCAGACAGGGGCCCTTGGGTCCTCCAGGTAAGCTTCTAATGCCTAGTCATCTCCACCCAGCAGCCTCCATACAGTGTTTTGTTGAAATAGTTATGATGAGGGTCATCTTTCAGAAGGTAATTATCCTGAAATTACCAGCAAATTCTAATGTTAAGGTTTTTCTGATGAAGATTATGTTTCTCTCAGGCTGCACTACAAAGTCTCAGGTTTGTTAAACTTATTTATTATCGGAGCAAGTAAGTTTGAAAGTTAGGAGTTGATTTTACATGTACTGTTTCTAAGGTAAATACCCATAAATCTGTGTTCCCTCACACAGGAGGCAAAGACTGATTTGATTATTGTATGTGAAGACAGTATATTCAGTTCCTGCCCCCAAATTCCCTCCTATCGATTCTCCTAGATGTTTTATTAAACTTTTCCTGTAAAGTACATTAGTTGCTATGAAGATGAAAGGCTATTCGATTTAAGCTCTGTAGACAACAGGTTTTCATCAGAGAGTCAAAATAAGCAAAGAAAGGGTTGGAAGGGCAAACAGACGTGTATTTGAGATTGGCAGAAGTAATACCTTTGAAGATCCTAAATCAATACTATGACAGTATGATGTCAGTTCAGAATATTTTGCAATCTCGTAAATGAGCACTCTAGTCCAAAGAATAAGTACACTGCACTGCTTTGTGATGGATCACAGAACAACATGATAAAGAACTTATACTATGATTCATCTCTTATTTCCTTTCTGTGCATAATCTACAAAACTTGGCAAATTAATATGGAATTTTCAGAAGCCTTCGAATGGACGGAATTTCTACATACATTAAATTGGGGCATATTTGCCGTAAGAAATCAACTTGAATTTTATATTGTGCAAGGGAGTTTCACTTCAGGACTTTCTAGATATGAAAACTCCATTAATCATAGATGTTCTTGTCAGTAACATTGATGTGGACTTTTTATGTAAATAAGATGCTGTCATTCTACTTGTCATTTCACTTTTGTCCTAATTCACACATTTATAATCTCTTTCTGCCATATGAAAATCGTTGTGTGGCCTCATTGTTTGGGCTTTGGATCTGTCCAGGTTCCAGAGGTAAGCATTGCTATAAGATGAATAATTTCCTCTAAATCTCATTTGCAGTCATTTCCATACTTGCCTTTTTCACTGTATGTGTGAGTGCAACTTTGTTGCATTTTTTAGATGGGGTGCTGTAATTACATTAGGTTTTAATGCCTTTGCTTCCTCGTTACAGATACGGTAACCCCATATTAGAGTGCCCCAATGCTGAGCCTCATTACAGGTTGTCAAGGCGGCATAGAGACTCAGCTTATAGAATTTCAATTCAGGCACAGAGTATGAGTGCTTTCTCTGTGAAAGGCTACAGTACATACCAACGCAGGTTTCCTTTCTAAATTCTACAATATAAATACAGAGAACGTCCCTAAAATAAGTAGTATCAACAACATGAAAAGCTGGGTCCTTACTACCCGGTAAGGGGCTGTGACGAGCCTTTCCCATCACACCCAAAGTCCACTGTCAAGGAGCAAGTTTCTTCGTGTGTTAAAATGAAAATGCCATTATTCTTTTCAACTAAATGTTCACTCAATCCTCCACAACGCGAAAGCGACATATGATTCTGTGTCTGGCACTTTTAAAGAGAATAAAAAGAGTTTCTCAAAACAAGAAAAGAAAAGCTGAAAATTGAAAGTGTGCATTTCTTCTTTCCAGGCCTCTGTTATTAACCCTAAGGAACGTTGCCCTGAATACAGACACCATTTATTATTTTTAGGGCCCTTACAAGAGATACCTTGGCCCCTTTCTTTCAGCTTCTGGTTTGTCAAAAAGTAAAGAAATGCAAAATCAGAAGTTTAAGAAATCCTGCTATTTTAAATGTTTATATTTTTAAATTACTATTGTATATTTAATGAGTTTCACTTCAGTCCTTTTAGTGTCTCTCTGACTGTATATATAAACTCACTGGAATGTAACATCAACATCCTAAATGTGAAGTACCAGCCAAATGCCCGCCCATCCTCCACTAACCTGCTTCCTCCCCTCTACTCTTACTGGTGAATTCCCACTATAATGCACCAGATTATCCAGGGAAAGTAGGAAATACCTACATGCATCTCTCTCAAGTCCCTCAGAGCGAAAAAGCCAAGTTTTACATTAAACTGTATGTACTGTAAAAAGGTCTCTAACTTGGTGTCACTTGTGGTTTCACACAATATTTTCGAGGAGCTTAAATTCCAAACAGCTTATAGGGTTCTAGTTCATTTTTCCACAGGCAGAGTAAGTACCGTGTAGACTACGTTGTCATTGTGGCCAGGTTTTCTAGGATTTTCTCACTGCTTTATCACTGTCCTTAAAATTATTTTGCACATTTGTATGAATTTTAAGAAAACCATAAGTAATCAATGATGTGTTTTACAATATGTTGCATTTCTTAGAATTCACCACGTAGGTGTTCAGAGTTCTCAGGGAAGGCATTATGGGGTGCGGGTGAAGAGGGCAGTTTTGGAGCCAGGATGTCTTGGATTTTTATCTAGACTGTGCCACGTAGTAGCTTCGTGACCTTAGGTATGTTGCTTATTTACCTGAGCCTGACTCTTCTTCCCTGTAACCTTCTAATGACAGCAGCACACACACACAGGCTGGGTGGGAACATTCAATCATAAAGCACTTAGCACGAGGTCTGATGCATGATGAAGCATCCAGTAAGTGTTAGCTGTTAGCATTGTGGCTTAGTGTTATTATTTCTTTTTCCTTGTGGAATGTTTGCAGGGTGACTGAATGAAGATTTAGCAAAAAAAAAACAAAACCAAAACACAGTTTTTAGAGCTGTGAATGTGCCCAAGAAGAAAAAAAATATTAAACCTTTAGGGCAGTGGTTCTCTAAGTGAGATTCCCCACGTCAGCACCGTCAGCTTTACCTGGGCACATGCTAGATATGTAAAATGTCACCCCGCGCCTCCAGACCTACTGACTCAGAAACTCTGGGCTAACAAGCCTGACAGATTAACGTCGGAACTGCAGCGTTCCGGTGGTGCTTCTTAGCCCCGGCTAATGTTGGGATCATCTGGAGAGTTTAAAAAATTAGTAATGCCTGGGTTCCACCCCCAGAGATTCCTTTTTAATTATCTAGATGGGATGCTGGCAGCGGTATCTTTGAAAAGCTCTGCAGATGGGATTATTGTAAAATCAAGCTTGAGGGCACTGCCCGGGCCACATCCTATACCAATGAAACCAGTATTTCTGGAGTGGGACCCAGAAATCAGTATTTTTATAACTCGCCTGCATAATTCCAACGTGCACTCAAGGTTGAAAGTCACCGCCTCAGTGCCTCTAGCAGTCCTGAAATTGTCCCCTTGAGTAGCAGACGCTCTGGAAACCCAGGTGGCTGCAGTGTAGGCCGATGAATTAGGGTGATGTTAAGCTGAGTATGAGGAATGCACCGGGACCTCTCCCCATGCCACCTGTGGCCAGCTCCTGGTAAGAAATAGCCCAAAGTTTGCGAATCCTGTGAAGGTCACCACATGATCGCTGTCACGGCCCATTTTCACTATTTCATACTTCTTTTGCTTCCTCTGAGATCCCATTCACTCACTCATTCAGGCATTCAGTCATTAACAGAAAGCATTCTAGAAGTTTTCACAGTGAACAAGACAAAGCCCCATCTTCACAGAGCTGACACTGGATGCTTGAAGATGCTCGATAACGTTTCAGCGTAGTGTCAGAAGCCCATCCAGCTCGAGACGGCAGAAGGACCTGGTTCCTAAGCATTTGAATCCCTCACACAGGTGGTGATTCTAATTTCAGGTGAACCTGGGCCCCCTGCAGACGTGGATGCTTGCCCCCGAATCCCAGGGCTTCCTGGGGTACCAGGCCCAAGAGGACCAGAAGGAACCATGGGGCTCCCCGGAATGAGAGGCCCCCCAGGACCAGGTATGAGCCTCACACTGATTGTTACTGGCAGCATGGATCGCTGAAATGAAGATCTGGGTGTTTGCTACGTAGCTTTTTGGTACGGAGCCGCAACAACTAGTGGGGATGAAGCAGTGGAAACCTCCTTCCCCTTAAACATTTTCTCTGCATCTGTCCAAAGGTTTAATCATGTAGTAACAGGATCGACACATCCCTTCTATTGTGATGAGGAACGCCTACTTTAATCTTTTACTTGTGGGCAGCTTTTGGGCATGAGTTTTTTTTTTTGGTTTTTTTTTTGCGGTACGCGGGCCTCTCACTAATGTGGCCTCTCCCGTTGCGGAGCACAGGCTCCGGACGAGCCGGCTCAGTGGCCATGGCTCATGGGCCCAGCCGCTCCGTGGCATGTGGGATCTTCCCGGACCGGGGCACGAACCCATGTCCCCTGCATTGGCAGGCGGATTCTCAACCACCGTGCCACCAGGGAAGCCCGGGCATGAGGTTTTGAAACCTCTTAGCACCACAGAGTAGATGCTCTGTGAGTAGTCATTATTAGGTGTTGATTTGACCTTGAATTAAAAACAATTGAATTGGGACCCAGTGGAGCAGAACAGCCTACAGGAAGGGAGAAGGAGGTGTATCGCTTGGAAGAGGAAAAGGGAAGAGGGGGAGGGTCACGATAAATTATGGCAAAGATCGCGTCATTCATCTAACAGATCTGAGCATTGCTCAGTCATTGTCAGGGTGGCAGGATTCTTATTTAAGTATTTAAACCAAACCATTCCTTTAAAAGGTGCCCTCCCAATGGTTTATTTTCTCTTCATATATCCCCATCTCATTGGGTAATTTACAAAGAGATTAGAGAGTTTAGGCTGGTCATCTAGAGATAACTTATCTTTTTAGACCAGTGGCAGTGCCTGTGGTTCTAGATACCAAATTCTAGAAACAAATGTGCAAATTAGCCTAAGAGGCATGAAACCATTCCTCTTCCTGGCTTTCCCACTGCCCAGCTGTGGCTCTGGCTCCTTTTGGTTCAGGGCCAAAGAAATTGGAAGTTAAAACTGAATTTTGCACCACCTGTTTTTCCTTGTGTTTCCCCAAACCCAAGTAGCTAAGGACCCAAGAGATGTCCCGGTCCGCTGGAGTCTGTGTAGTTCTTGGGTAGCATCCCGAACAGCTCTGGAGCCTTGTTTATGTTAGTATATGGGGTTCTGTTGTTTGTGCTTGCTGCATTGCATCTGTGTTTGTGCGGTTAGTATGGGGTTCTGTTGTTTGTGTTTGCTGCACTGCATCTGCGTTTGTGCAGTCAGTTAATTGCGTGCGGATGGGAGCAACTTCCTTTAACGGCCCACGGGCGCTGGGAATTGAGAGTAGTTACTTTTTTTTTTTTTGGCACTCTTTGCATGAATAAACCCTTAGTCAGTCAATAAACTCATCACTCAACCTTATTTTAAAACCAAGCTGCCTTGTTGTGTATGTATCTGCAATATTGAGGGCTGGTCCCATCCCCCCTTTAAAAAATTAACTTTCAAGTAGAAGATGTGGCCTGTAATGGGTTTCTGCAAATTCATTTCAGAGAATACTTCCAGACCCCCTCTATTCTTTTTTTTTATATTTATTTATTTTTGGCTGCGTTGGGTCTTCATTGCTGCACGCGGGCTTTCTCTAGTGGCAGAGCGTGGGGGCTACTCTTCATTGTGGTGTGTGGGCTTCACATCGCGGTGGCTCCTCTTGTTGTGGAGCACAGGCTTTAGGCACGCGGGCTTCAGTAGTTGTGGCACGTGGGCTCAGTATTTGTGGCTTGTGGGCTCTAGAGCGCAGGCTCAGTAGTTGTGGCGCACGGGCTTAGTTGCTCCGCGGCATGTGGGATCTTCCCAGGCCAGGGCTCAAACCATGTCCCCCTGCACTGGCAGGCGGGTTCTTAACCACTGTGCCACCGGAAAAGTCCCCCTCTACTCTTTATATGCAGTACTAGGCATTGTGGGCAATACAGATGTGAATGAGATGTGGGTCTCACAGCCTCATGGTAGACATAGCTGGCAGATCATAAGTAATTCAAAATAATGCGAAATTATAATTCGTGTTTTGAAGGAGTTTCAAGCAAAAGGCATTAGGAAAACGGGATGGGGAGAGGTAATTCCAGCCTGGAGGATTGTAGGACTTTTAAGACCCCAGCAAGAGCTGACCTTTGAGCAGAGCTTGTAAGGAGAGATTGGACTTTGAAGAACCAGAATTGTCCAACAGGGAGATGGCAGGAGCGCAATTGGGGCAGGTTGGCCTAATAATCCAGAAACTGAGAACCAGCTACATCTTTGCTGCTCACAGTGTGGTCTGAGGACCAGTGGCAACTGAGGCCACCCTCCAGACCCACCTAATTAGAATCTGCATTTTAACAAGATCCCCAGAATATTTGTGTATACATTCAAGTTTGAGAAACCCTAACTATATTATATGAATGCTGTCCTCAAAATAGTCAGCTAAGGGTGATGCCTTCTTGAGTGACTCAGTCCTAGCTCTAGGTTAAAGTCACCTGGAGGGGCTTGAAAAAACATTGATGTCCAGGGCTCATCCCAGACCAGCAAAACTCAGAGGGAGACAGGGCCCAAGCATCAGTGTTTTGAGAAAGCTGCCCAGATGACTGTAGCAGGCAGCCAGGGCTGAGACCCATTGCTTCACCCCAATATCATTAGAGACCAGATAGGTAGTTGGGTTCACTTTGGTGGCTTTGGAAAATAACCGAAGAAAGTGACAAAAAAATCAAATGGGCAAACTCTGCACACTTTAACTTAGTAGTTATCCTGGGCACATAAAAGATTCTCTCTGCATAGATTGTGAGCTTCTGAAAGAGGGCTGACTGTCTCTGTGGTCCAGGTGTGATCACCTGTCATCTCGAATTCCTCCTGACTTGGGGTCGGATGGGCTTATCCAGCCGCAGGTGGCCACAGAACGGCCGTCTCTGGCTTCCCATGCCCTCTCCTTACTGATGTCACTGACCCTGCCTGCTGGCAGTGGGGACACCCGAGGCCACCGTTGTGCCACAGAATATGATTGTTATGTTAAAAAAAAAAGTGCACAGTCCTTCCCGGGAAGCATCACCCACTTTCCCCAGCCGTCTAACAGTGTGGGCTGCACTGCTCTGTGGTCCAGCTTCCCTGGAGCTCCTTTTGGCCCTGCTGTGTACCTGCTCCCAACCCACTGCTTTCTATGGGGCCCCCTCTTCTCTGATACAGCCCCCAACCCAGCTCCTGTTGTAAAGAACCCTCTTTGCCAGCAATGTATTCCTTGGTCCCCCTCCCTGTCTGCTCCCACTGGCCACCCTAGATGCATTGGCCGTGCTATCCAGTTACTGAAAAGTGACAGGTATATTCTGAGGGTCTAAAGTGGCCCAGCCGTGATGGACTTGCGTCATCTGTCCTTTTCTGAAGGCGATTCTTTCAGCAGGGTGTGTGGGGCTGTAAAGACCACCCCAAGGTTGGTTGTGAAGGATCAGCTGCCCCTGCGAAGTACCACCTTCGCTTAAAATGACATTGTGGTTTTCTTCCTGTTTCCCCTCAAAACCTCTTTCATTGCTAAGCTGATTTTGTATCCAAGGGCTGCCGCTGAAACCTACATAGAGAAAAACGAAGTTATGACTCTTTGCTACCCAGTATGAGTGGGTAGTGGCCACACTAAGTAAAACTTGAGTCTGTTAAGAGCTCTCGATCACAGAAGGTCTAATGCTTCTCTACTCACACATCTCTTTTTTTTTTTTGCGGTACGCGGGTCTCTCACTGCTGTTGCCTCTCCCGTTGCGGAGCACAGGCTCCGGACACGCAGGCTCAGCGGCCATGGCTCACGGGCCCAGCCGCTCCGTGGCATGTGGGATCTTCCCGGACCGGGGCACGAACCCGCGTCCCTTGCATCGGCAGGCGGGCTCTCAACCACTGCGCCACCAGGGCAGCCCCACACGTCTCTTCGATCTACAACTTCTCCTTCCTGGGTGGCCCTCAAAGGCTGAGACTTCCTGTGATGAACGCAAAAGTGGTTTCCATTCTGGTTTGAACCGTCACTGCCTAATGGACTTCCCCACATCCTGTTGGGAGCGTTTACCTTCTAGTCAACACGTGACTCTCTCAGAGGAGGGACTCCATCCAACATTGCTGGGCTTTTAGACGTAGGTCTGTTCTGTAAAACAAGTTCCAAGTAGAAAACTCTGGGTACACAACTCGAGTTAACAAAAGCCTTCCTTCCTGACTCTCAGAAACGTCATCTGCTGACAATTTCCCTTTGTCTTCCCCTAAAGGGAGCAAAGCCTCTATTGTAACATCTGGCAGGGAACTCTTTCCCAGACGGCGCAGTGAGCTCGTCGCATGTCCATACTTGAGAAGGAATGTTTGCTGCCTTGTCTGTGATACGCCCATTGCTTCACTGTCTCATTAGCCCTGGGCAGCCCTTTCCAGGATCGCACAGTGGCCACGTGTTGGAATCACCTCGTTGGGTGGGAGAGAAAAGAGTGCTCTGAGCTCACCGTGCGGCCCTAGGTTCCTTCCGAGATAACGGATATTCTCTTCGAAGCTGGTGGAAAGAGATGCACCAACTCACGTACCGCAGCGCCATCCAGGAAGAGGCTTCTGCCCAGTTAGACAGGGGAGGGCGTCCCTCCCCTCCATGGGGAGGAGAGGTTTCCTTTCTCACTTACTGAATGGTGACCATGTAAGAACGTAGTCCAGGCACTGCAGGACGTTCCAAGAGAATTTGTTTATGATCCAAGAGGAGACAGAGTGACATCACAGCACCCCGAAAGCCAGGAGCGCCCCCGACGCCCACACTGAACTTAGTGTGACCAGCGTCGGGTGTAGGGGGGTTGGTGGCTGCTGGATGTGGGATGAAAAGAGGAGGTTTGTGGGGGCCACTTGGGCAGGCGATGTTAGGACAAAATGTAAAGGCGGTGACATTTGGGGGGCGTGCACTTCAGATGGCTTTAAGGGTGCCTGTGTGAGAGCGGAGTCGAGTGAGATGTCTGGTCCCCTGAGTACGGCAGGCCCTATGTCACATCCTCAGGTGGCCCCCGCTGCCTTGAAGAACACGTCCCGGCGTGGAAAAGAGGGGCAGCTACTGAAGTGAGCCCCCTTGGACTTAATGGTTGGTTTTAGGCTAATTTGTGGCAGAGAGAGGGATTGGACAGAGAAGACTGATCGAGAAAGGGAGAGAGGGAGAGAGAATAGAGGTAGAGAACGGAAACCTTGAGGGACTAGTGATTCAGGTAATTGGGGAAGGGCTGCAAGGTCCCCCTCAGGCAGGGACCAAATCTGCTACCCAGACCAAAGGAGATCGTGGCTAATGAACTTAGTCGTGGGCCAAAAGGAGCCAAACACTTAAAGAACCGCTCGAGTCTCAGTGTGACGGCCGGCCGCCGAGGCCCCAGGGAACACGCCTGAGCCCTGGTCACCAAGCAGGGTCTGGAGATGGATGGCGCAGCCTCTGCCCTCAGCCTGCCAGGCCTGTTTCCTCGCTACATGTGGTCAGCACCATGGCCTTTCTTAGCCTGCGTTTCCCCACTGGTAGCCTGGCTTGTGGGAGCACCTCGTCACGTGGCTCCTGTGAAGACTGAACTGGATAATTCACATAAAGGGGTAGCACCTTGTAACCCTCAACAAAGAACTGTTGTTAAAAATTGCTGCTCAGGGCTTCCCTGGTGGCGCAGTGGTTGGGAGTCCGCCTGCCGATGCAGGGGACACGGGTTCGTGCCCTGGTCCGGGAAGATCCCACATGCCGCGGAGCGGATGGGCCCGTGAGCCATGGCCACTGAGCCTGCGCGTCCGGGGCCTGTGCTCTGCAACGGGAGAGGCCACAACAGTGAGAGGCCCACGTACTGCAAAAAAAAGACCAAAAAAATTACTGCCCTTGCTTTAAATTTAACCTGACTCTCAACTAAATGCTATTAAGTTTTATTCATTCCTCCATTCAGGCTTCCAAAAAATTATTCTTAAGGAAAATATTTAATTACAAAAGCCAGATATGTTCAATGTTAAAAACAACAACAACAAAAAACAAACCAAAAATACCCAACCAGGTCAAATATACAAGACTATGAAGCAAATGTGAAAATGTCTCACTCAACACCTCGCTGCTCTGGCTTCAGATCCTGACTCTGCCCATTAATGATTCATTGGCCTTAATTGATCAAGTTACTTGATCTCTTAGAGCCTCAATTATCCCCACTGCCAAGTGGAGACAGTATAACCCCAACTTCAGGTAGCTGCAGGGATGAAATGAGCCAGTGCAGGTTGGTCCAAATGGGAGGCCCAGGGCTGACATGAGGAATCCATGCAGTAAATGCTAGCCTAGTGGGTGTCACATTGCTGTCATCACCACCATTGTGAACTTCCCTGCAGGGTGCAAAGGAGAGCCCGGGCTGGATGGCAGGAGAGGCGAGGATGGCCTTCCAGGGTCCCCTGGGCCTCCAGGACACAAAGGTGACATGGGAGAAGCAGGCTGCCCAGGAGTACCAGGTAAGGAGTTTCGGTTTCTCTTCTTTTCCCTGGCACAGTGGATCTAAGACTGTTTACAAGATCCCCTGGCCTCTTAAGCATTTGCCTTAGACATCCACTCACCAGGCTTTAGGGAGACAAAGCAACAAGAACAGAACAGGATGTGTCCTCCACATTTTAACTGATACTCGACCATCATAAAAACAGGTCAAGGCCCTGTGTCCATTATTTTCCCAAAACACTGTACATTAACCTAAAAGGCTCTGCCATTTCCGCTGTTCACTTTCCCGAGGTAAGCCTGGCATTGGCTGTGTGACTGCCACTGAGAGGCTGTGCTGAAGATCTTGGGGACGGCGGGGGTGGTCTCACATCTACAACTGACTGAATCACTTGGCCTCTGGTTTTCTGAGTTCATTCATCTTAGCATACAGCCATCAATCAACTTATAAAGAATACAAGGCTGTTCCTTAAGAAAAATATTTGAGAGTGGGCCTTGGATGAGAAGAGATAAGACTCTACAGAATATAAATTTGAACTGTAACACACTAGGCAATATGTTAGGGCCCAAAGACTCCCAGATACCCTCTCATCTTTGGAGAGTATCTGTCTGGCAGTACCGGGTTACTAATGAGAAGCAGGTGAAGGGGTGGGAGAGGGACTGAGGACGGGGCACTGCAAGAAAATGGAAGCTGCAGTCCAAAAGCAGCAGCTCAGCTTCTGCTCTGTAGAAGTTGTTGCCCTGTAGAAATGCGGGCTTAACGTTCCCTACACTCTGCTTTTCTAGCCGGAAATCTTAACTCATCAAATCTTGGTAAGTCAAAGAAAACACATGAGCACGATGCAGTCCGTAAGCTACCACTTTGTAACTTCTGGTTTATAGATGAGAAGAGCTGCCAGTCTTCCAGAAACAACACATTTTTAAAACACCGTTTGATTTCAGAGTCTAACCTCACCTTTTGCTTTTGGCAATTAGAAGTAGCCACGGGCCTTCTTCCAAGGGCCATGGGTCGGCCCTTTAGAGATGCCAAAGGAGAGGCTCCTGCCCACATTCTGTACAACCATTCATTTCCCACCAGCCACTTAAACAGTTCTAGAATTCGGCCCTCCTTCCGCCTCCCTCCCTTATAAAAGAAGAGCTACAAAGCCAAACATATGGATTCCAAGCCCTTGTCCTTCTTAGAATGGAACTGACGATATGGCAGAACAATGGGACAGGTCTGGGAGGTGTCAGAAAGACTAACTTTGAGATTCGCCTTTTCAGAGAGCAGGTTCCCAGTCTAGTCGGAGGGGTCTGGGAGATCCTACATGGGGTGTGTCATTCTAGCTCTTTTCTTCTCAGCACTTATCATTTATTAAGTATTTCACAATTTACCTTTCGATTATGCTTATTGTCTTTTCTCTTCTTTGAGTAAAACGTAAGCTCTAGGAGGCCAGGGATTCTCATCGGTTTTTGTGCTAATGTAAGACAAGCAGCTAGAAGTTGCCTGGAACAGGTCCTTGCTGGATGAGTTGTTGGTGTACATTGCAGTTGTGTGAGGGGGACATTCCTCTCTGCTCCCTGAGTACTTAGCACAGCAGCAGACGGGGTGGTGCTAAGAATGCTTGTTAAACTGAACTTGCTAAATGGCCTTTATTTATTTGTGTTTCTTTATTCCTCCAGGCCCTCCTGGGCCCGTGGGGGATCCTGGGCCCGAAGGGTTCGGCCCTGTAGACCCCAGTGGCTTCCTCCTGGTTCTCCACAGTCAAACTGATGGAGAACCCACCTGCCCCGCGGGCATGCCCAGGCTCTGGACTGGGTATAGTCTGTTATACCTGGAAGGACAGGAGAGAGCTCACAATCAAGACCTTGGTACGTAGCTGGCACGCGGTCACCCAGATTCATTGCTTAAGAGCAAAACTTTGGGGTTAGTTTTACGGATTCATCAACATCTTAAACGGTCAGTCATCTATGGGATTTTTTTTTCTTTTTCAACTACCATGCTAATTCTCAACTAATTCTGTTAAACCTGTGATCCTGAGAGGTGCCAAAGAAGCTCATTCTGGCTATAGTTATTATTATCTGACTACTTATTATTAGTTAAAAAAAATAATTCTTAAGGGTAACTCTGATATGAAGTGCAATTTTTATTTCTCAGTGTGAATGATTTGATCAGGATATGGTTGGTTCCTGAGTTTAGATGTAAAATGGTACCCTGGTGGTTATATGGTGTGGCATTAGCCAGCATCAACTCCTCAACCTACGCCAATTTTTAAAATTGAAATACATTTGACATATAACATGATGTAAGTTTAAGGTGTACAAAAGTGTTGATCCGATATATCATAAGATGATTCCGTTGTATCGATAGTTGGCACCTCCCTCGTATCGCATAACTATCACTTCCTTTTTGTGGTGGGAATAATTAAGATCTAATCCTTAGTAAATTTGATGATAGGATACAACATTGTTGTCTGTGTTCATTCCACTGTGCATTAGATTACCAGGACTTATTTATCTGCTAGTTGCAAATCTGTACCCTTAAGCAACATCAGAACTTTATTCAGGGAGTTGTCCTTGGCACTACCTGTCAGTCTTCAATAGTGGATTTGTGAGCTGCAGGAACTGATTTTTAAGTCGAGGGTTGAGTCCCCCCGCCCCCTGGGTGCTGGCACTCGTGGTCTCCCCGAGATAGTGGTGGCTGGAGTGGTGGGTGCAGGAGGGCTGTGCCCACAGGGACAGCTGGTGTTAAGGTGAGTCTCGTCACGGCTCTCATTGGGCTGTGACCCCCCCCCCAGTCCATAAGGTGGTGAAAGGGTGCAGGCCTAGAGGGGCAGCTACTTACATGTGTACCACGGGTCACCTCCCCTGCCCTGGTCTAGCCAGAGCCACCACGGCCTTGCTCTGCAGAGCTTTGGGAATAAAATCCAAACTCCTTAACAAGGTGGACAGAGCCCGCATCCTCTGGTCTGATTTACCTTGGGATGCCCTTGAGACAGACCCAGACCTGCTCTCCCCACCTTCCCCCGCAATGAATTTGAGTTCTTTGAGCTCCATGCCCCCTTACTACCCCTGGCCCTCTTTACTGCTGTATAAATAGGCCTTTCCTTTGAATGGTCACCACCATCTCCAGACCCGGCCAGATCTTTTTCATAATTCAGGTCCTAGCGTAGAGTCACTTTTTCCAGCCATCCTTCTTGTAAGCCCCAGTGCCTCCACTTCTCAGGGCTTGTGCTGCTGTGTTCCCAGGGCCCGTCTGCCCCTCCCGTTCCCCCATCAGGCCGGGCTAGGAGCTTCTTGAAGCTCTCGGGGAAGAGCTGTGCTCACCTCTCCCTCCAGCACCCGGCCTACTGCTTGGCTCCCGAGAGAGTGACAAGTGGCCGAGGGAATGCGGGCTGGCCCCTGAGACCGCGGAGGCGGCCAAGTGGTCAGGGGCACACCGTGCCCTCGCCGCCATAGCAGCAGGCTTTGGCCAGAGCCTCCCGATGCCAGACCGTGTGCGCACAGATGGGCCATGTCGGGGAGGCCGCTTCTGCACCCCGCACACCAGGTTGCCGCCTTCCCTCCCAAGGTCTGGCGGGCTCCTGCCTCCCCATGTTCAGCACGCTGCCCTTCGCCCACTGCAACATCCACCAAGTGTGCCAGTACGCCCGGAGGAACGACAGGTCCTATTGGCTGGCGAGCGCCGCGCCGTTGCCTATGACGCCGCTCTCGGAGGAGGAGATCCGCCCGTACCTCAGCCGCTGCGCCGTGTGCGAGGCCCCCGCGCAAGCCGTGGCTGTGCACAGTCAGGACCAGTCTGTCCCGCCGTGTCCGCGGGCCTGGAGGGGCCTCTGGATTGGGTACTCTTTCCTGATGGTGAGCCCCTGCACGCCCGCCGTCCCTAAGCCCCCTTCCGTCCGGACTGGACTGTAATTCTGAGAGTGCTGTGCAGACCGGATGGCAGTAGGACACGGGGTCACGAAGGCCACCACAGACTATAGCCTGTGGAGATGCAGGGCCACTCTTTTTTCTTATTGTCCATGATTTTTTTTTTTTTTTTTTTACTTTGGTAGAATTGGAAGATGGGTTTGCGTCAGCCCTCAGCGGAAGTGGCTTACTGCCGCGTGCTCACCCCTCACGCCTCCCGCGCCTCCTCTCCTCAGCCGATTGTAGTTTCTCCCTCCTGGGATGACTTTCAGGGAAAATGTAAATCAGGCCCAGACCTCGGCGTGTCACTGGATGGGTAGGGGGTTGTCTGCAGATGTCTGAGCCCTAATTCTCTCTTGTTGTCCGGGTAGCACACAGGCGCTGGGGACCAAGGAGGCGGCCAGGCCCTCATGTCACCCGGCAGCTGCCTGGAGGATTTCAGAGCTGCACCGTTCCTTGAATGCCAAGGACGTCAGGGAACTTGCCACTTTTTTGCAAATGAGTATAGCTTCTGGCTGACAACTGTGAGACCTGACTTGCAGTTTTCCTCAGCACCCTCACCGGACACCTTGAAAGAAAGCCAAGCCCAGCGCCAGAAAATTAGCAGGTGCCAGGTCTGTGTGAAGCATAGCTAGAGAACCCACCGCTTGTCATCAGGTCACCAAGAGAAATTTGCTAGGAGGCGAAGGCCTCCTAGGCTGTGCTAAGAGATTCAGTGGTGCTCATCTTGGATTCCTGGTTTAGCTGTTCCTTCTGGTTTCGATGTGGTTGTTCCCACAGTACTGTAATCCCTTCCTCCGTTCGGGACAGATTAAGCAAACGCTACACGTGTGGATTTGTTTGGACCTACCAACCTACATGAAACCGGGATATTCTTAGCTGGCTTTATTTAAAAGTATGCTAATTCAGGGGAAGGCAAATAGATGATACAAATTACATTACTGAAAACGTCATTCATTGGTTAATAGCAACTCAAACAATTGAAGTCAATTACTCTGTAACACAGTGGGCTTCTGGATGGATTTTACAGGAAAAAATAAATAGGCCAACAAATGAAACTAGAAAGTAGAGATTTCCTACGTTTCAAAATGATTTCCTCTGTAATCTGTTTTTCCATGCACTTTAACTGTAAAACTATGACCCACGGAGATTAAACAAAAATCCACACAGCCAGCCTGAAGAGTTCATTTCAAAGCAGAATGAATCATTATGCCAGGAAGGACCACGGCCGCTGTATTCCAGAGATGCGACATTAGCATAAAACACATCACAGATGAACATAAAACATTATGTTCTCGTCTGCATTTTTCAGAGAACAGAAATGCCTGCTTTGGCAACCCATTGGAAAAGTAGCAATTATGGAAAAAATATACGTCCAGTGAGGGATTAAGAGTCGAAAAGCTATTAATGAATATTAAGGCAGCGATTCACAAGAATTGACTCCCCACTGCCGTCAACTTCCAAACAGGCCGCTTTTGCCCAGTCGGGGTCTGGCTTGTCTTCCAGTGTGCGTGCTAATGGGACTGGAGCCACATGGGGCCATGTTCACATAAAGCATCTTGTTCCCCTCCCTGGGGGCGCCTGCAGAGCTGCCTCACAGAGAGGGCCTGCAACGGACACTTTCCCTCCAGCCACATAATGGCATCTCATACGGGGAAGGGACAGAGCTATCATTATGCACTTGGGAGAAAATTAAGGGCCGACTTAATTAAACTTAGGTAAGAAGATTCATTTTAAGTCATCATCACCCCATGCCCCCAAAAGACCTAGCACTCTTTTAAATGAAACAAAGATAACCTACAACTTGAATTTTATGTTCCTGTTATTGGTTTTTACAGGAGCATCCTGCTTTTCTAATCTTAAAAACATTCTTATATTTTATATCAGTCAGTACTAGAGCAAAGCAGCAGTTTGATATTTGGCATTAATATCTTCTGTAAAAGCTTAGAAGATATGTCACTTTATAGTGAGTAATTTTCTGTATAGCAAAGGATAGGTTTTCTGTTTTGCTGGGAATTCAGTGGTCTAATCCTAAAAGTTAGAAGGCTTATTGGAAAAGATTTCTAGGAAACTTGCCTTCCTTATTTAAATAAATGTTATTCTAGAGAAAACTAAAGAAATTTCTCATGAGAAAGTGACATTCATTTCAGTGCTTATTTTCAATGCACTTAATAATTAAGAAAAACTCAATTAAAACTTTGTTTATAAGAAATGCTTTCCTTGGCAAACATCGATTGGGAGTGTGCACTTACATGCAGAATATATTTCAAATGAATTTTGCTCTGGGGTGTCCCCCGGATGGGGGGACAATTTATTTTAAGGCTACTTCCTGGTAAGAAGAAAAAATATACATTTTAAGAGGAAATATTGTCTTGATGTACCAGAATATTTCCTAGTTCATTTGACCCATTTATTAATTTTTTGAAACTCTCCTATGGCATGCTAAATGTTTGATATTGAACCCAATTTCAACCTTGTTTATAATTAACAATTTTGTTGCCAAAAGTTTTATCATATATTACCAAACTTCAAGCCTTCTAAAATTTCATCATGTTCATTCATGAAATTGGTCCGAGAACATTTTCTGGGAAGAGGTAAGGGTGATCGATGGGCCATAGGAAACATATCTTGCTTGCTATTTTAAACACCTTAACTTTGGTATTAGAATTATCTTAATAAGCTGGTCAAATAAATTTTGAAAAAAACAGCCCGAATTAAGTGGGCACGTTCCTGCACAGTGAGTCCTCCACAGTGAGTCAGCCCCCTCCTGAAAAATAGCTTACTTTTCCATAAACTGAAATTTCAGAAATAAGATTTGAGAGATGTGACAATGAGAGAAAACTCTTCATGGAAATGTGATATGACTTAACTCATGCTGTAATCTGTATTCCCTCATGATCGTCAAAGCGTTCTACTATAAAATCACCTCTACAGAGTTTGTGTACATGTTATTGGTGCTTGGGAAAAGAGGAACAGAATGGTCCACTAAAACTGGATTTTATCAAGGATTTTATTTTGAGCCTCTTAGAGATGATAATAAAGCAAATCATTCTGTTTTCCAGGAAATTACATTAGATTTGTGCTTCTATCAGCTCACCAGACTGATATGATAATAGTTACTTTTATTTGGTGTGGCTGCAAGAACAGTGGAAAGATGTGCCTTTAGAGTTGGTTGAATCCAAGCTTCAATCCAGCTCTGTCACTCTCCAGAGGTGTTACCCTGGGTGAGTTATACCAACTCCCTGAGCCTCATTTTCCACATTTACAAAGTGGGACGTAACACCTACTATTGCATTGAAAATTAAGTTAGATTCTATGTCCAGCAGATAGCAGACCTTGTATATTTATTATGGTCACATCTTCTATTTAAAACAAGATGTTTAATATGAAAAATATTTCTTGGGATTCTTTACATAGTAGAATTAACATAAGGATTCTCACAGGGCATATAAATTACTGATTAGAATTATTTATACCTGGCCAATTCTTAATGTCTTTGGGAATGCTATTTTATTTCAATTCTCAAAGTTATTGTACCACACACACAAAACTCACAATTTCCTGCAGGGTCATTATCAGGAAGTTCTGCAGGGAACAAAACAACTGACATTAAAAAGTCAGTACTCTGCAATTGTCACTGTTATTATCTGCCAGAGACTCTGCATAATGCATTTTCAACCACCAAGGCTGGCTGCCACATCTGTGTGAAATGCTTGAATTTTATGGCGCTTAAATATTTAATGATTCATAGGAAAAAATGTGAAATGTGTCTGATAAGTTGCATCCCTTTCTCTAACCTAGGGTTGTAAAGTTAAAGACTTTCAACATGTAAACTTTGCAAGATGCCTGACCTGCTATTGACATTGAAATCTTGTATTACAATTTATAATATCACTTACTACGTATAAAATTTCTGCAATGACCTCCAAAAACAACTGTGTTTTATCTGGTGCATTAATTTTCTTTCAAGCCAAAGTGAGTTTACTACTTAACCTACCTTGTAATACAGCCTACCTTGGGTCTGGCTCAGTCGGGAAAACAGGAAAGGTTACATGTGGTAGAGGCGCGATCTGCAGATGGGAAGAGCATGTGAGCAGAGTGTGGAAAGTGACCCCCTTGGCTTGGGAAAGCGTGGGATTCTGAAGCTCCTGGAAGCACTGTCCCGTACACAGTGACGGGGTGGGGTGGACATGAAATCAGGCCTCAGGGCCCGAGGTGTCCTGCAGCAGCCTCTGCTGAGTTGCATGCACTCTCCAGCATGGGGCAGAGACCCCGCGGGTCTCAGCTGTCCCATTAGTTGAACCACCTGTTTCACAAGGTTGCTGTAAGGGTTAAGAGTAAGAGAGATAATTACAAAGAGATATAAAACGTAAGGTACTGTTACTGATGACCAGAGTAACTGGCAGTTAGGGGTTTGTGACGATTATATTTTTATAGCCCACGCACTGCTGAGCACAGGGGTGGCTGCAGTGCCGATATTCACAGGTAATACTCACCTGTTTCATGAAGTAACTCTTTTTAAGTAGGAGGGAACTTGAGTGGTATTTGGTCCAACTTCTCAACAGAAAAATAATGCTGTTAACATTTCTTGAGCACCTACTATGTGACAGAAACTGTATGAACCCTGTTATAGGTGCTCCCCTCAACCTCTCAACTATCCTATTTTACAGACGAGGAAACTGAGGTTTGGAGAGAATGAATAACTCGCTCAGGGTCACACAGTCAGCACCCAGCAGAACTTGAACCCTGGTCCATCAGTCGCTAAAGATTGTATTTTACCCACACCATCGCCTCCCATACTATTGATTTCATTACATAATTCTCTTCCCAAGCAGCAATATGTATTACCTCCAAATTCAATGATTTCTTCTAGCAATGTTTCAGTTTTCCTTGATAAAGTATAAATCGTATGTTCCAATCTGCCAGTTCATCTGAAGATCTAAACAAGATGTCAAGATCACTCTCTCCTTGCCCCTAAAGAAGAAGAAAAAAAAAAAAAAAAGGGTTAGCACAGACACATCAAACACACCTGCAAAAGTACAGTGGCCAGATTTGGCGGTACCCATAGGGGCTCCCTGGTGATACTCTTTGAATGTCCTGGAATCTTGAGTTTTGTGCACTAGGTCGCAGCATTTGTGACGTGGGGCATGCCTCAGACTGACACAGGGAGGATGGAGACCTCTGCCCACCATCTGGTGAGCATGCTGTCTTATGAAGTGTTGGGAAAGGCCTGGATTTTTCTATTTCTATGGACAAAAGCTTTCTTTCAAGTGATTCTTTCCTGTGATTCAAGAAAACACACACACACACACACACACACACACACAAACCCTCAACAGTATCAAGCAGCCACAGGCACCTCTTCATGTGTGCCGCTGGCGATGGTATAAATGAGCTTCTGTTTCAATCCACAAACGTTTATTGGTTTTGACATTCCAGACAAAGCATTGTTTCAGGTACTGTGAAGAGATACACAGTAACACATTCAGGGTTCCTGCCCTTGTGAAGTTTACAATCTAGAGAGAAAGACAGTCCTCTCACTGAAGGATAACTAGCAATTAATTCTAAGTGGTCTATAAGAGCGGAACATTCTGGGTTGTGGTGCCTGATGGCAGGATGGGGAGAATCTGGATGGGCAGAGGGAGAGGAGAAGGTTGCTTCAGTTAAGTCACAGGGTCAGGAAAGCTCACAGCTTGGACGGCGAGACCAGTTAGCAGCACAGACTCTGTTATGGATACGGGGGGATGAGGCTGAAGGGCTGGCTGGAGCCCCATGGTTGAGGCAGATGAGTTTGACCTTTATCCTTTGGCAACAGAGAGACAATAGAAGGCACTGAGACGGTGAGCGGCATCGCAAAAGTAGGTTTTGGAAGATAACTGGCAGCGCTGTGTAGAACTGAGTGAAGAGGTATCTTAAGTATTGAGCAATGTACTGAGAGATTTTAAGGTCCTTCTAAGCAGGGAGTCTGTGACTCTAAAATGAAAGACTAGGGGCAAAAAAAGGGAAGTGACTGCAATAATCCATGGGAAGGGAAAGGAAGAGATGATAGGTTTGTTTTGTTTTGTTTTAATGACTATTTGATTGAATCTCCCAAGATGAACTAGGACTTGGGAAGTCGGTGGCCAAGTTGGCCACACCCTCTCTGTTTTACTGTCCTTGTTTGGTGGTGGGTCTCAGCCCTTTAACTTACTCCCCAAGCGGCGGAATGTGTGACCAATATGTAGACTGGCCCCGACTCTACAAAAACCAGCCATTTACTGTCTGGGCCTCAACAACAGACAGCTTAAAAGGACAGAGGAGCCTTGAACAATCATGTACAACTTTGGAATCACCGGCACTAAATACTTCCAAGGTCACGAAGAGGAAGCAATTTCACTGCTCCCTCATCTTGAGAACCAAGGAAAGATTCTGAATTAAGAGGTCTCATAAGTTGACTAACCACAACCAAAGTGTGGGGATGTTTAACAATCAGGAAATTACTATTAAAGCAAAGAAACCCAATTTAAAACCAGCTCTAAACGCTTATTTCCTATTAGAGACAGTCGAATGCACTGACTTTTGTCTTTCTCAATCCAATTCCAGTTTTTTGGCATAACTTTGGAGATTCCTTCTTGTAGGAAAAAAAATAAGATGGATGTTGAAAATAATAAGCACTGGTTACAAGTCAGCCTGTTAACTGAACAAAGTAATTATAGTAGTTTCCAAAACACCTTTACTGTTGTGCTAAGATAACTGGTTTATATTTGTAACTAAAGTGACCTTTCCCACATCTGTAAAGTTTAGCGATGTTCCACTCCATAAATAAAGACGGCGTGCATATTACAGGTACACATCTGAAATTCAGTTCCGGTGTCTTTATATCTGACAAGTGAAACAGAGCAAGGAGCTACTATTATTGGACTCAACAGCAGTAAAAATATATATATATGTATATATACTTCCATATATAGTGGTTGGACTTCTAATGCATTGAAAAAACACTTTGGGGAAGCTAACATTTAATAAGCCCCTACTGGGAGCCAGGGGCCAGCCTTTGGGTGGCAGGGTTGAGGCAGAACTGTAGAGTTAACAAGACACAGGCCTCATCCCAGAGCCATTCATAACCCGCGCTCCCATGCGGAAGGCACGTCTTTCTACAGTTGTGCACAAAAAGTCATAGGGCAAGATGTAAGTGTTATAACAGAATTACCTTTACAATGTGCTATGAGAAGATGGCATGTTAAGAATGAGCTTACTCCGGGCCTCCCTGGTGGCGCAGTGGTTGAGAGTCCGCCTGCCGATGCAGGGGATGCGGGTTCGTGCCCCGGTCCGGGAAGATCCCACATACCGCAGAGTGGCTGGGCCCGTGAGTCATGGCCGCTGAGCCTGCGCGTCCGGAGGCTGTGCTCCGCAACGGGAGAGGCCACAACAGTGAGAGGCCCGCGTACCAAAAAAAAAAAAAAAAGAATGAGTTTACTCCCAACAGAGGTCATGGGAAACAAATTCGAAGAGTTTGGGAGAAAAGAGGAATGACATTTAGCTTGAACATTTAAATTTTAAAATGTTTGAAGCTACGAGACTCAGAGATACAATTCATACTCTAAACATGCTGTACGTAGGTTTATATCAATCAAAAATTAACCCAAGGAGCTCAGGTAACACGTGCCAGCTGGCAGGTCAAGGTGCTCCCAGGTCCCACGTGGTGATTTTCTTAGCTCATGTACATGCAAGTGGCAAAGCCTCTCCCAGGTCAATTCAGATTAGGAACCGGATACAAAACTGCATAGTTGGTATGCTCCAAATCTGTCAAATGTATACAAAGACTGAGAAAGCAATATCCCCAAAATGTTAACCCTGGGTACCTCTGAGTGGTGGGGATACAGGTGGTTTTTTAAATCGCACATGTATTTTTTTGTATTTCTGTTTATACTGTAAATTTTATCAATGGATACACAATACTTATTATTGAGTCCATTTTCCTGATTATATATTTCTTGATTTATTATTATCATATAAATCAGTTTTCCTACCGCAAAAGTAGTACACATAACATACGTATACACACATTTTTAAAAGACAGCAATACAAAATCGTAAAAAACAGAAAGCAAACTCCTATGCACTCCACCTTCCAAAATAACCTCTGTTAACATGTGGGTACATTTCCTGCCAGATGTTCGCTTTATGCATATACAAGGTATATATATTACTTTCATAATCAGAAAACGATATAAATGCCAGATAAAGCAAAAGAGGAAGATCCTTTTCTGCTTCTAACTCCCTTTAAACATAAATATCTCAGTGAAATAAGACATCAGTGATATGTGACTTTTTCCTTTTATTCATGAAACACCAGCACCAGGAAACACCTTAGGTGACTTGCAGTCTGTGGGTTTGGGGAGTGTCTTGGACGGGTGAGTAGGACAAGTGGCTGTTAACAGTGGTCAATTAAAAGGCACTTTTATGAGAAAAAAATACTTCGTCACGAGGGATTTCTCAGTGACCGACCCACTGGTCACTACTCTGGCTGCTTTGCTGGTTAGTTCAATACAAGTTGCATCCCCGGGATGGTACATCGCCACTGGAGAGGCTGCTGGGAGCCCAACTGTGGATGCCGCCTGCTGTGTCATGGAGTGTGTAAGTGGTTTCCCATCTGAGGTCTTACTTGAGCTTTTCCAGTTACACATCCCGTGAAGGCAGAGTGATAGCACAGCAAAGCAGGTTCACTGCAACCACCATCCAGATATGGGGGGCCCAAGGAGCCAAGGCGCTTGGGCAAAGGAGACCGGAACGACAGCCTGCGATGGTAGCCACGTCCTGTTCCTGGAAAGTCACCATGGAAACATGCCAGGAGGATGAGGGATGGCTCCCTGCTTCCTTCCAAGTCGAGCACTGAGCAGAATGAGGGCCTGATCTTCTGGGCTGGTGAACACAAACCTCCTGGCGAAGGTCACGGTCTTCAAAGACAAAACAAGGCTGAGTCAGCAGTGAGAGAAATGAGTGTGGAAACTGGTCCCTAGGTGGAGACGCTGACTTTCTGTCTGCAAGAAGACAAGGCCAGGAGGTGGGCCACTCCCAGAGAGCTGTGAGCTGCATCCAACAAGCCTGGTCTCAAGATGTCAATCTGCTTGCAAATTAGACTCACAGAGGCCATAGGACGAAGGGCCACGGCAGATGTGAGCAATTGGGACGGTCATAGTGCCCTCTGCTTTTGTTCAAAACTAAGTGGGGGCTTGGAGACAATGGTAACACAGCTGGATCACACTTGTTCACATGGCTGGGTCACCTCACTGGCCGTCGAATCTGTGAAGCCGCTTTCTCCTCATTTCTTCTTCTGGTGTGAGCTGGAACCGATAGGCCGGGGGGCTATTTCTGCGATCTCCTGTAGAGAGAAAGCACAAGGGAGACTCAAGCGCTGCCCACCCACTGTCCTGACATTTACAGGGCACTGCATCCTAGGATTCCCAAGGGGGAAAAAAAAGATGGCTTAGGTGTCATCTTTATATTAGCATGAAACAGAAATGTAACAAACATATTTCAATTTCAGAGGTCAATACTACATTTCAACATAAAGTAAACATTTTCAGCGAGGTCCAGTCCATGAAACTAATTTGACTCATTTTGAAACTTCTTGACAATCCTCCCATTTCTATGTTCTTTTCCATCATGTTCCACAATTTGCATCATTTAATTTCCAAAATGTCTCAAGGGCTTACTTTATTTCTTTTAATGCCCAGAAATAACTGTCACTGTCCATAACATCCTCACCCAGTGTGCTCGTAGGGTTCTCCTGTTGGGCCCTTTTCCTCCCTCTAACCTGCTGCCTCCTGTACTTCCCCAGCTGGTGGGAATCACGCCTGCCTGAAACTCACAAGCCCCCACAGGGCATCATGGCCCATAGAGCAGGGGCTGTGTTACCATAATGACCAATATCTAAGCAGGCAGACAAAAATGCCGGCATAATATTTGAAGATCATGTGGGCCACGGAAATCATCACTGAAAAGGGTTTCTCGGGGCTACAAACAGAACATATAATTTGCAGTGATATAAGCATTTCAATCACTGCATTAAAAAAAACACTCTTCCAGCCACTGTAGGGGGATAATAAAGGAATAACAATAGACAATAGACCTCAAGGACCCAGAAACCTAAATCTAATGAAAGAGCTTCAATATCCTCCATGAGGCAGCCATGCAGGGCGTCACTGATGGATACACGCAAACAGTAGGTTCACGTCTAAGCATGCGGACCAGAAAGATTGCACCTTTCCCCTTCTGAGCCTCTGCTAACCCTGTAAACTCACTCTGAAAGGCCCACTCCCATCACCTCCCTCCATCAAAAGTCCTACTCGTTTTCCAACGCCCCATCCAAATCGCACTGCCCTCTGGCCACCCCCAAAGGAAGAGCTCTCTCCCAATTCAAGCTCCTCAGCTTCCAGCACCTTCCTCTCAGTGGTCCGCATGCAACAGTCACCACATCCCACCAGACAGGGCAGCCACTGTGCATACCGCTGCTCTCTCCTACTGGAATCATAAGCTCTTAAATGGCTGGGAACATTTCTGACGCTTCTCTCTGCTCCCCAGTGCCCGGTACAGCCCCGCACACACAGAAGCTGTTCAAGAAAAATATGGGCCTGACTCAGCGGCACATGCCTATGACTTCCAAAGGTATATGTTACGGCCAGACCACCATATTCAACGTTGCCCTCTGAGGTTCTGACACAACTGACTCTGGAAGCCCTGGCCTAGCTGGGAAGGGTGGATGGGCAAGAGGGTCGGAGCCAGGAGGGAAAACAAGTGAACAGTTGACCCCTCCCGCTCTCGCTCCAAGCGTGGTACCTTGTCGGAGACGCTGACAGGTAATATATTGACATGGTGGTTGTTAAGACAATGATGAAAAGATGTTAGAGAAAGCAGTGTGAAACTAAGAGTCAGTTTGCTAAGCCACCACAAGAATTTCAGTTGTCAGACAATGAGAACTTTCTAAAAAGGCAGTCAAAAGCAACCCCTTTTTACATTTTTTTCCCCCACAGTGATAGAGACCCCAACACTTACCCATGTCTGATTGTCCTTTCCTTTTGAGACGTGAGGGAATTACCCCTGCTGGACCCCTTGTAACATTTCCTGACTAGTCCACCCAGAAGTGATCCAGGTGGGCCAAGCCCGGCACTCACTCGCGCTGGGTAAACTCCACTTCGAGGTTTTTTGATAAGTGAAGTATGTGTCATTTTACCAACTTTCACTAAAGATGCTGTTCAAACGTGTAAGACTTTTACCATAAAGATTTTATGAATACTATAAGATTCAAAGTTTTACTGGATATGGTTTTCACCACATACATTTGTAAAGGAATTTCTCTCTGTTCAAAGTGGTAAACACTTTGAAATTACAGAGAAACTCATGAATCCAATTACCATTAGTTTATTGCTTAAAAGTGCTTTATACAATGAGCTCCAACTCCTGCTTTCCTTTTAACGGTTGTTTTTAACAAGTCCATTCTTAATTGCACTTATGAGCGCGGGCCAGTGTGTGACAGCCCATTCCAGCTGGGCAGGGAACCGGGAGGCCTGGCTGTGGGCGGAGTTAGAAGCAAGCTCAACGTGGCATCTTGACTCCAGGCCACAGGGCACGAGCCCATAGATGCTGAAAGATGCTCAGACTCCCAAAGGGAATCACAGTGTCCAAGAGGAAAAGCCTGTTCCATGAAGGGAAATGCAGGGAGGAATCAGAGGTGGCAGACTGTGAAGGTTCTGGGGGTTCAGCTCTCAAAATGGCCAGCCGGCACAAATGCTCTCTGGACCCATGCTCGGGGCATTTAAGGAGAACCACGGCTGAGCCAACAGAAGAAATGCCACGTGCTGAAGTAGAAAACTCACATCAAGAGAGGAACAATAATCACTCTTTCACAAGAGCCTTTTTCTTTTTTTTTTTTTTTTTTTTTTGTGGTTCGTGGGCCTCTCACTGTTGTGGCCTCTCCCGTTGCGGAGCACAGGCTCCGGACGCGCAGGCTCAGCGGCCATGGCTCACGGGCCCAGCCGCTCCACGGCATGTGGGATCTTCCCAGACCGGGGCACGAACCTGTGTCCCCTGCATTGGCAGGCGGACTCCCAACCACCGCGCCACCAGGGGAGCCCCACAAGAGCCTTTTAAGGTATCCAATTTGAATTAGCTTTTACTCCCAATTTCATGATGCCAATTTTACAGATGAAAAAAACCGAGGCTCAGGGAGTGTTAGGGACACACCTAAGGTCACAAAGCTAGCGTGAAGGCAAGCAAAAACTTGCACCTATCGGTCTTCCGGCTGCAGGAGGCTTCTCCTCCTCTTCCACAGCCCCACACTGCCGATCCTACTAACACACCGAGTATGTTATCACATCCCTTCGCTACGCCTTATCCTCCTGCCAGAACCCAGAGAGTCCCTTTCCTTCATGGATATGCAGGGAGCTCACTGTAATCTGAAAATAGAAAAAGAAGAAGATCCAGCCTAAGCTCTCAAATCGACTTGGCTGTGCTGTCATCACAGATGTGACTACAAAGTTCCCGCACTGGGTCCCCTTAAATTCTACTGACTACTAGAGTGCTTTGGGTTTTTAGGACCCCTGGAAAGGCCTTGTGTATAGCAACAAAACAACAATAATGACAATGCCTGATGTGGATGTTTTATGGGTATTTTAAATCCTTCAAACTCAGTGTTTCTGTTAACATCAAAGCCACCCGACTGCAGAATGATTTAACTGCTTCATTTCAGGCTTTGAACTGCATTCGTCTTGCTGGTAGTTAGTTTTCTTGGAAAGTTTTCAAGACTAAATTAACCTGTGATATGTTGAAGGCAGTTATGTATTTGATGTCAGTCAGCCAACCCCCCAGACCTGTTCGTCACATCTGTGCTCTGGGTCAGTGCCACACTGGGGACCAGGCCTCCAGCTGCTCCCCTCCGTCTCAGCTAAGCTCTGTCTTCCAATTCTCCACCTTGTCATCTATTTTTAAACCATTTCTATGTTTTCCGCTTGTGTCACATGACCTATTATTTCTCTCCTTAGCCTCCAGGACCCTCTGCAGGCATTTCTCAAAGGGTCTAAGAAATGCGCTTTCCATATCTACCTATATTTATTAAGCACACAGAAAAGGATCTGGATGGGCCTCAGCTAGACGGCAAAAGGAGAAGAGGTCCCCGTGCGTATATTGGAAAAAGTGTTGCTAGGAAAATGGGAGATGCTTCCGGCCCTGCCTGGAACTAGAGAGGACACCCCAGGCAAGTCTTCATTCCGGCAGGCTCTGGTTGGTTCACTTGTCAGGGGAGAGGGTGCAGAACAAGGTGGCTGCCAGGGTCCTTGCCGTGACTCTGGAGTCTGATGACTGGGGTAAAATCCTGACTCTTCCACTTACAGCTACACATCCTTGAGCAAGTAGGTTACCTTCACGTGGCCTTAGTTTCCTTACCTATAAAATGCAAATAGTAACAGTAGCTCCTTTGCTGGACTGTTGAGAGAATAAGAGAGGATGCATATAAAATGCTCAGCTGAGTGCCAGCAGTGCAGTTAATGCCTGATGAGCACTGGATGTCAGGACTCCTAACCTCGAACATCACTGAGAATCATATGGGTTAAATGTCTATCTGTTAATATCACTGGCTAAAAGACAGATACCAAATAAAATGACCAAAGACTTCTTAAAAGATAGAGCCCAATTCTGTTTGAGGACCAGCTGGCAGTGTTTTGTACAAAGTGTGGAGTCACTACTTACTAAATACTTGTCCTCTAAGAGACAGATATGAAAAAGGTAATTCACAACCTCCACATGCCAGCACACTTTTGTGACTTTCAGGCACTGCGAAAACTGGAGAGCCCAGCTGAGACCTCTTTTCTCCACTGAGTTAAATCATGCATTGAACATTTACAGGTCTGGGTGAAACAGCCTTGCTCTGATGAACTTGGTACAGAACATTAGTATTTATGAGCCTTGCTTCTATAGTCCTGTAAATGGAGGTCAGCCCTCAATTTTACTCAAAGAAACAGTGAGCATGCTTCAAAGGACCTCAGGAGCAGTGCCCAGTTTAAGAAGATTTAGCTCAATTATAGCACCAGTAGTGAGATCATAAGATTTATTGATTTGTGGTTCTTGATGGAAAAATTTTCAGTTCTCTACCCTTATGTATAATGCAGTAACCTCTGCATTTTACATCTAAGGGAGGAGAAGCAATTTCATCCACATAAGAATTGCTAAAAAGAATGCCATGAGTTGATGGCCATTTTCCCTACTGTTCGCCATCCCTGTAAATAGAGATGTTTAATTTGCTGTATTCATAGATCCTGCCCATGATCTGACGAGCCCTCTATGCCATTCAGTGAAATTATACTAAAGTGAAGCCTCAAGATGGCTTGT